AACTAAAAATTTTATTTTACTACAGATTTAGAGACAGGACAACATTCTCTCTTGTCCACTCTCCTCTATTAGCCATTCCAATTCAGTTGTCCTCCTCCTAAGATAAGTACTGAATTCTAGTTAAATGGTTTGCGGTTTATAAAGGAGGGCTTTTTTACTTTTTATCTCCACTGTGGCAGGCATGAGTTTAGTAGGCATACTTTAGTAGGCACTAAAGGCAGAATTTTGAGCATTCTGTGTCCTGTTATGCCTTATCCAGAAGTTTCAGTGTTGCCACTGCTCAAGTGCTTTAAATGCAAACCATGCAAAGAATGGGAGGATTGAGTACAGAAGAGACACTAAGAGAATGAAGGAGACACACTTAAATCTCATCAGGAATAAAGCCTCGAAGTACCGATCAGGAAAGTCAGCGTTGGGCAACAGCAAGTGGCTGGAGTCAACTGGAGGAGGAGGGACATTCAACTCACCTGATGAAAGATGAAAAATGCTTTGAAGAAACATTGAGGAGAAATGACTTACCCTATCATAACTCTTTTGAATCTTGTGGGCATCTCTCAGAACTACATACCACTTCCGATGTATCTAACCAGAAATACAGTTTAATAGACCTGTTTGTAGTACATTGAGTATGTATGTTTGTTCAGCTTTAACAGGTGATTTCGCTAAGGTCAGGACATAACTACTGGTGGAGTATAGTATGTCACCATGGACTCGTGAGTGACAGTTGGACAACTGATTTATTATTGTTCACTTCACATGTTAGAGTTAACGTGCCACTACATTTACACTAGTCATTCCAAATATTTTACCTCATACTGGAACATGCTTCAGGAGCAAAATGGCTCATGGGCCATGAGTTCCCACTAGCATTGTTTATGTTCTGAGACAGCTTTGAAAATCTGTAGCACCCTAGCAAGGCCAGGGCTGGTCCCTTCATATTCAAGTCTCTTATTTGACTACCATAATTAACGCACAGCTGGCAGCCCTTGCTGATTCTCTGGGAGTTTGATCATTTTAGGGATAAGAAGGATTTACCTTCAACACCCACAAATAAATCAGCTGTACAGGCCCTGTCGCTTAAAATGAATACCTGATGCTGACAACATTCGTATCCAAGATTGCTGGGTGACCGGTATGTGGACAGGTCTCATCCTAAATGAGAAGATGCACTGTTAGTTTACAGCTTTGTAAAAATGAAAAGCCAGATTCTCTCCAGTGTATTTAGCTTACCGAACAGCCTTACTGAAATATTCCCCCTGACTCCCTTTCTGCCTGAGAAGCCATCTCAGACAACCCATTTAAAACACGTCTTAGTTTTGTTTGTGGACTACTGCTTAATGAAAATTAAAGTTCTCACTGTTGCACATCCCCCCCTTTTTTTTTTTTGCTATTATCCATGATCACACTTGCAAACATCTACCTTGTTAATTATTATGTACTATATGTTTGTGTCCCCCACCCCCAATTCATATGTTGAAGCCCTAACCCTCAGTCTGCCGGTATCAGTAGGTGGGGCCTTGGAAAGGTAAGGTTTAGATGAGGTCATATGGCCTCCATGGAGAGATTAGTGCCTTTATAAGAAAAGGAAGAGACACTACAGCTTCCTCTGTCCACCACTTGAGGATACAGGAGAAAGCTGTAAATCAAGAAAAGGGTGCCCACCAAGAACGGAATCTGCTGACACCTTAGTCTTGGACTGAGAGACTGTGAGAAATAAATGTCTTGTTTAAGCCACCATTCTATGTTAGTTATTATAGCAGCCCTAGCAGACCAAAACATCCACTCATCATGTCTTTTCTAACTAAAACAGTTTCACTGGGTCTCCTGACTAGTCAGTGTCCAGCAGACAACACAGGCTGACTTAATGATTCATAACCCTGTTGAATTTATCATCTCAAGAACAAAAAAGGTACCATGCATCACCATTTTCAGAGAATATGTTCTCATTGGCCTATTTCCATATTTCCACCGTCCTCTTAATCATCCCCATGGGCATTAAAACCATGTTTGAAAACAAGTTCTTAGAAGGTTGTGTAGCTAGGCATTCATTCATTTGAAGATATGTGTACTTGCAGATCTGTGGCCGTTCTGCTGATTATTTAGTTTTAATATTTCCATTTGATTACATCTAAAAAGCCTGTGTACAATCATGTTTTTTATAACTTGTACATGTGAAATCTCCCATGATCATTATTTTGAGATAGCAAATATTCATATTTCTTGCCATTTGTGTGGTTTTCTACCTAATTGCTTGGTGAGCTGACTTGGTTTATATACTTTTTTTGACGCCCATGTTATTACAATTTAGATTACTCTTAATTTTTAATCATAAACATGTCAAATGCAGCTCTAAGTATATAAATATAGCTATATTAGTTTACTAGGCTCTTGTCGATGTGCCAGCCACTATCATTTGCATTACTTAAACTAATCTCATGTAATTTCCAACAGTCCTAAAAGATAGATGTTATCATCCCCATTTTAGAAAGAAACAGAGGTTTGGTGAAACTAAGTAACTTGGCCAAAGTCACCTAGCAGAGCAGGGATTAGTTCCTGTTTCAACAGCTATTTTATAATGTCCCTCAGTCTACAGTCACTGGAATGTCTCCTTTTGCAGATGAAGGGACTGAAGCTCAATGTTCAGTGTTTCAAATATCCCATCCTTCTTCTCCGTGATTTACAAAGTGCTTCCACTAAACCTATTTCATTGGATGCTCAAAGCTGTACTCTAGGTTAGACTTGGTATTGCGTCTCCCTTGTTTTGGAGGATGAAACTGAACCTTGTGTTAAAAGAATTGCCTTTGTTTAAAAGTAAGTAAGCTTATCTTCCATTCCTTAATCCAACACTTTGAACATAGCCTTCCCTATATAAAAGGTCTAAAAGGCATAGCTTTTTACATCCAAGGTCTCCCTTGCCTTTTGTCATTTCTATTTGTTTTCTGTAAAGCAAACTGTCATAAGTTGTATTAATCTTTTTGATTCATTTTCATTCTGGTCCCTCTCACTATGAACGTGTGGCTTGGATTTTCATACTGTTGTCCACATTCTTTCCATTTTCTGCACATTACAATCCATAATACAAGAAACATCTCTTTAGGGCTGATAGATTGTGGCTCAGCCGATTTTTGTCTAACCAATTATGTCCATAATATTAATGTAGATGATGCTGGTAAATATGCCAAGAAGCCAGAGAGAGCTTTTTGGCTGGTTTACTTGTGTTCCTGTAAAGCAGCAAATTGGAAACAATTTCTGGGGGGTTTTTTCCTGCTGATTTTTAAGAGTTTTAGTTCTGGAACCTAATACTATGTTGTTGGTCTATTATATACCACCTTGCTCATGGATATGCTTTCTAGTTCTCTTTTGTAGTATGTTGTTGTATGTTCTGGGTCCTAAATAGAGCCCACTTTTGGCTTTTCCTTTGGAAAGCCTTTGCTTTCATGTAGCATTTCTTTTCCTGAAGGCTGACTTAAATGCCTGCCTTCCTGTGCAATCATGGAGTAGGCCTGACTATAAAATTATCTATAGTCACTTGAATTTGTTTGGCTTGAATTTGGAGATAAGGACATGTTAGCTTTTTTATGCTTGTTGAAAAAAATACTTGGTGATCTTACCCTCTTCCTGAGTTAATATTTCCAGCTGAAAACAATGTGTAATGAAATACTTGCTCTCTTGGTTGATTAGAACTGGACTTTTTGGGGCACTTAGCTGGCTCGGTCAGTGGAGTGAGCGACTCTTGATCTCAGGGTTGTGAGTTTGAGCCCCATGTTGGGTGTAGAAATTATCTAAAAATGAAATGAAAAACAAAACAAAACAAAAAAACTGGACTGTTAAATGGTCTTTCATGTGTCGTAGGGAATCAGTTGGAGGGGGTGTCCCATCAGTTCTAGCACAAATCCAGTATAGCATCATAGTCCTCAGTTCTCAAGAAGTTTCTCTAGCCATTCAACCTTAATCAGCAGCTGTCCAAGTTCATTCTGGTTGATAAAATTAACTCTTTTGTGAGTGTAAATACATTGCATTCTATTTTTTACCAAGTTGTCCCATTAAACCTAGGGCAAAGACCATGCCTTTCAGAACTTTGGGACCACTTTGTGATTCCAGAAAAACCATTTTGCTGTGTTACACAGTAGCTGTTCAAAATGGTGCTTAGGGGGATTGCATCTGTAAAATGGTTAATTTTAGTCAATCAGTGCAGCAGTCCACTTTCTTATGTCTCTTTGTTTGGTTATACATAACCTTGAAGATACGAGCTATTGATGTTACTAGAAAGCAGTTCTGAGACTCGAACGGAAACCTTGTAAGCATCTTGCCTCCACATGGTCTACCCCCTCCAGTCTGGGTCTTCCCGTGTATCAAAAGAATGTTTCTTAGGTGGCCATTTTTTAGACTGAACTTTTTTGGAAAACTAGTATTTTCTTTGGGCACATAAGAAGTAATCAGTAAACATAGTGCATTGATAGTCAAGGTAAGTACCAGCATCACGGTGTTAATGACATTCCCCTGAGGACAAGATATCTCAAAAATCCTCAAATTTGTCCTCCCCACCGTCTGCTTTTTTCTAGAATAAGGATCCCACCCACAACAGTTTTCCTATGGCCGTGCTTTATGTCATTTCTATCTGTTCCTTTAAACCAAAGTACCTACAACAGTAGTAAGAAAAACAAAGGTAAAACCCTGTAGAGTTACAAAGGTCTTATTAGATAAGGGCGGAGTTGTAGTTGTTATAATAAGACATGGATTTCAAAGTCAGCTAGAGACACAACCAACCGTAAAGATAGAGTACATTTGTATGAGAGGAATGTATATCTTTTCTGTATAAAATTGTAGAACTCTTACCACTAAAACATGAACTGCCTGAAGCTAAATTGTGTACCTCTTGTAGAAGCTTACCTGTAGTTCATTCAGCACTACCTGTTCAATAAAGAAGATAGGTATTTTGAGAGAATCATTGAATGTTGTAAGTAATCTTGATGCTTTTGCATTTTCCTGTATGGATGCAGCTGAAAGTACCCATGGCAGACAAACCTGGTAACACAGTGAATTTCCGGAAGCTGCTACTGAACCGCTGCCAGAAGGAGTTTGAAAAAGATAAAGCAGATGATGATGTCTTTGAGAAGAAGCAGAAAGAACTCGAGGCTGCCAGTGCTGTGAGTAGTTGCACAGAAAGGCAGTGTGCTTGTGCTCTCTGAGTGTTATCAAACAGAATTTTCATGAAGCCGGTTATATATCCCTGCTACTTCAGTAGATGACTGTGGCCCTTTTATCATGGGGAGACATTATATTGAAGTTTAGAGGAATGCTTTATTCCTTTTAGTGCCACCTGTTAGAGTAACTTAACCTTCTAAGACAGGAATTCAGAGCCCAGATTTCAGAGGTCACTGAGTTCCAGAAATCTCCTGAAAAGGATGCAAAGTTTTGGGTGTAGTTCAGTTTTCTGAGGAGTAGGTCTACAGTTGCTGTCAGATTCTCAGAGTATTCCTGACTCCCACACGGGATAAGACCATGAGTCAGAGTGTATGTTCTTAGCATCTCATGTGCAGTACGGTTGTCTTCATCAAGCTCCTATTCCTCTTCCTTATACAACAGCCAGAGGAGAGGACGAGGCTTCATGATGAACTAGAAGAAGCTAAGGACAAAGCCCGGCGGAGATCCATTGGTAACATCAAGTTTATTGGGGAACTCTTCAAACTCAAGATGCTGACGGAAGCCATCATGCACGACTGTGTGGTGAAGCTGCTGAAGAACCATGATGAGGAGTCCCTGGAATGCCTGTGCCGCCTGCTCACCACCATCGGCAGAGACCTGGACTTCGAGAAGGCAAAGGTGAGCACCCCAGTCTCAGAAGCACCCAGCATGGCCTCTGTCAGTCACAAAAGAACTAGAACCATGAATAGGAGTGTTCCATCTCACCCCGGCAGTCTAGGCTGCTGCTTTGTCTTCTTCTGCCCTTTTCATTGTCAATGTTTGGCTATTGAGCTCCTTACCACCTTTCCATCATGGTACGAAGTGAAGAGGGTCCCAAATTATATAAAGGCCACCTTGTGAATTGTTCAGATTATTGTCCCTTTTCCTTTTTCTGCATGACCATTTCACAGGTCATTTTTATGTATAGCAAATTGTTGGCAGAAATAGGAGAATAGCTACTGTGGGCCAGGACTGAGGGTGTTACAGAAGCGAAGACCCAGTAGTTTTCTTAAGTTTATGCTCGAATTAACCGCAGGGCTATCTAACTATAATATAAGAAATCATTAACAATATTATGATTCAAACATAACATGGTGCTCTCCAAATAAGGGGTAGGAAAATTAGAAATGCTTCAAAGAAGTAATATCAGAAATGTTTCATAACATCTGAGTCAGCTGGGATTATGTTTGTGACAAAAAAATCCCAAATATGGTGGTTTATGCAAGATAAAGGTTTATTTCTCACTCACGTAAATAAAGTTCAGAGGTGAGAAATCTGAGGCTGGTTTGGTGGTCACAGGTAATTAACAGTCCAGTTCCTCCAGCTTAACATTCTGTCACCCCCAAGGTATAGCCCTTGTCCTTACATTCTCAGCAGAGAAGGTTGGAAAGGGGCAGAGGACATGGCCACCTCTCTCTTAAGGAAGGTTCCAGGGGCTGTAGCACGACACTTCCATTTGCATTCTGTTTGCCTGTCACATGACTAGAGCCCTCGGCATACATAATCTTTTTTTGGGGCATCATATGCTCAATTAAAAATTCAACCCCGGGCACCTGGGTGGCTCAGTCGTTAAGCGTCTGCCTTCAGCTCAGGTCATGATCCCAGGGTCCTGGGATCGAGTCCCACGTCAGGCTCCCCACTCAGTGGGGAGTCTGTTCGCTCTGCCTCTGCCTGCTGCTCTGCCTACTTGTGCTCTCTCTGTCAAATAAATAAAATCTTAAAAAAAAAAATTCAACCTCATTATCTTTTGGCTATAAGTTGTATTCCTAGGCCATTTAAAAGTTTTATATGGTAAAATTATACTAGAATTCCTCAGCCAGGAATACTGAATGGTTTTGTCTCTTGCAGCCACGTATGGACCAGTATTTTAATCAGATGGAGAAAATCGTGAAAGAACGAAAAACCTCATCTAGGATTCGATTCATGCTTCAGGATGTGATAGACCTAAGGCTGGTAAGTAGAAAAATGTAAGGCAAGTACTCCAGTCTTTTTTAAGGAATTGGATTGGGGAGGATGTCCTAGTATGTACATGTGTAAAAACTTGATGCTGCAGGAAGGACTTCCAGAACTGAATTGATGCACTTCCATGACAGAGCTGTGTGAAAGGATACAAAGCATATGTACGTGCCTCTTACATTTCTTCTCTCTATGCTAATTATGAAACCACATTGCATTTTTTAAATCAGCCATTCTGAATTCAGACTGTGGTCAGTTAAATTTAGTTTTAAGGTGCTAAATAATCAGGATCCTCATCTTCAAAATGATTATAATTAACTTGCCTGAGGGGCACCTGGGTGGCTCAGTCGTTGAACGTCTGCCTTCAGCTCAGGTCATGATCCCAGGGTCCTGGGATTGGGCTCCCTGCTCGGCAGGAAGCCTGCTTCTCCCTCTCTCACTGCCCCTGCTTGTGTTCCTTCTCTCGCTGTCTCTCTCTCTGTCAAATAAATAAATAAAATCTTAAAAAAAAAAAAAATTAACTTGCCTGAGCCTTACATATTTATTCTCTAAAATGGGGAGATTGCCTACCTTGATCATGTGTTATAAAGCTTCAGTGAGGTGATTATGTAAAGTGCCCGGCTCATAGGAGATGTTGGTGTTTCTTCTCTGTTGTTTTTCCTGTATATCCTCCTGTTCTGCTGCTGTTGCTTCTCATTTCTCATAACAGGCGCAGTGTTTACTACTCCCAACTCTTTTCTCTCTTCTTATTTACTACAGCTGACCCTAAACTAGAGAAAGAGAATGCAGGTCCTAGGTCTTCCCTGCCCTATACCAAGACCACATAGCACTGGTGATGGTTCTTTATCTTGCTGAAGGTTAAATGTGACCTCACTATTCTTATTACCAAAGCCACTACCAGGTGATCAGAATTTGTGTGCTGATTTGAACCTATTTGCCATCCTTGCCTCTAACAAATGTAAATAAATGTAAAAAACTTCTTCGCCCATGCCCTCAGTTACTTGTACTTCTATCAGGTGTTGGGATTATGGCTGGGAAGGAAGGGGAGAAGTATAATTGTAATGAGACAACTTGTCTTGTCCTTAATAGGATAACCAAAGGGCAGAGAGGTGGCACTTTGTGCAGGATATCAGAACCATGATATGGGAGAAAGAAAAATGCTAGTCATTCTCGATTTAGAGCCCCCATGGAATGTGATATGAATTAGGTACCAATATCCCAGATTAAGCAAGGCCAAAGAATTCTGAGCTTTCTTGATTCCTATCCTGGCTCCTCCTCACAAATATACAAGATGATTTTTTAAAAATACATTTGGATCAGTCTTTCACTCTTTTTATTCACTGGCTATTGGAATACCCAGTATACAGTAGTTCAAGGTTGATTGAGACAAATTTAAATTTTTTTAAAGATTTATTTGAAAGAGAGAGCACATGGGGATAAGGGGCAGAGGGAGAGGGAAAGAGAATCTCAAGCAGACTCCCCGCTGAGCAGAGACTGATGTGGGGCTCGATCTTACAAACCTGAGATCATGACCCAAGCCGAAATCAAATGTCTGATGCTTAACCAACTGAGCCACTCAGGTGCCCCAAGACTAATTCTTTGTCTCTAATCCCAAACTGCACTTGGTGCCATCTGTAAGACAAATGAAAAAAATACTGTAGTACATATTTTAAATATATTTTACACTTTTCCAGCAGTGAGAAGTATAAAATAGATTTTCAAAATTTTGTTATGTTCATTTTTTGTTTTCTAGCTGATAATGTTGTTTTCTCCTTTTGTAGTGCAATTGGGTATCTCGAAGAGCAGATCAAGGGCCTAAAACTATTGAACAGATTCACAAAGAGGCTAAAATAGAAGAACAAGAAGAGCAAAGGAAGGTCCAGCAGCTCATGACCAAAGAGAAGAGAAGAACAGGTGAGGGGTGGAGTCCACTGGGATGTTAGGAAAACTAGGGAGATGAAGGACAGATGTTTAAGAATTCTATATTTAGATATGAAATGACATCAGAAAGAATAAACCATAGAGTGGTAATTGGTAAGTGAAGCAGTTTCACCTGGACACTGGTTTTTGAGTAAAAGCCAAGAATGCAGGACTCAACGTGGTTTCTTTGACTACTTTAAAGTCAGTAGTCAACAGACTTTATTGAGCATCTTCTGTATACTCAGAATTGGGAGGGATATAAAAAGAAGTGGAAGATATAGTTTCTTTTCTCTGAAAGCTTACGGTTTATCTGGAAAGGCAAAACTAATAAAGGGAACACTTGTCAAGTAGAAGATAATACCAATTATGAAATATATTCTCAGTTAAGATTGTTAAAACTCAGAGGAGAAGAAAGCTAGAAGAGATCTTTATTTGAGGAAGGCACCCTTGAACTGGGTCCTGGTGGATGCTAAATATTTGGAAGGGGAAAGGAATAATTTTAGTCATGAAATTAAAATAAACATATATTGGAAAGAGGCATAGACAAGCCTGATTGGAGCAAAATTTAAGTGTTCAGAATCAGTGGGAAAATGTTTGTCTGAAAGAATGGAGCCAGATTAAGAACTTTTGACTTTGTACACGGTAGACATTGAGCCATCATAAATTTTTGAACAAAGGGATAATATCATGCTAGTGGTATGTAAATAAAACAAATCTCTTCCTTTTTACATGATGTATCAAAGGGGTACACTGAACTCAGAAATGTTTTGTTGCTGAAATCCTGGTAACAATAATTATAATTATAAAGGAAGAAATGGGGAAAATGTGAAAGGTGAAATAGAAGGCATTTTACACTGGAGAAAATAGGAAGTTCATTGACTAAAGTTAAGAACATTGGAAGAGGAAACTTTTTCAGAAGGGAAATGATCATTTTTCTCATAAGCCTGTTTATTTTGAGATGGCAGGAGGGCATCCAGATAGAAGCACTCATTTGTCCACTGTGCTGTTACGTGAGCACGCTAGTTACTGGGTCATGTAAGTGTAATGGTTGAGAGCATAGACTCTGGAGTCAAACTGTTTGGGTTTGAATTTCGGCTCTCCTTCATCCTAGCTGTATGACCTTGCACAAGTCACTTAATCTGTAAAATGGATCAAATAATGGTTCATAGGATTTGTGTGAGAATGAAGTGAGGCATAATGTGTAAAGTGTTCAGCATAGCAAATGGCACACAATAAATACTCAACAACCGTTAACTATTATTTATCACAGACAGTAGAGCTCATAGTGAAGTTACAAGAGATGAATCCTCCATGGAAGAAAGTGTACTTTTTAAGTTTCATGGGACACCACACTTCCTCACCTTCCTCACCCTAGAACCTAGCAGAGTGCCTTTCACATAATGACTTTTATTTATTATTGAACTAGATTGAAAGCCCAATCCATGGAATGATGTCCACAGATGACTAAAGGAAGAAAAGAACTCTTGGAAAAGTAACAGATAAAGAACAACTGGAGAGGAAGGAGTACGAGGATATAAGAAACAAACAAGAAACAAGTTTGTTTATGATCAGTAATGTCAGATAGCACAAAGAACATCACGTATATGAGGATCAGGAAAGCTTTTGGATAGACAGTTTGGTGGTCTTACATTCAACAAATATTAAGTGCCCATCACATAACAGGAGAGACAAAATCCTTTCCTTCATGCAGCTTACATAGTACCAGGGGGATAGACAACAAATGCTCAAATAAAATACGTAATTTTGTCAGATCACTTTATTCTAGAGAAAAAGATAAAACAGGGAGGAAGTGTGGGTGGTGCCAGGCTTGGTGGGTAAAGGTGCAATTTTAAATAGGGTGGTTGGAGTGCCTGTTAAAGTTGGATTTTGAGTGAAAACCTGAAGCAAGTATGAAGGAATTAAGCCGTATGGATATCTGGGGAAAGGTTTTTAGGCAAAAGGAATAGTAAGTAAAAGGCTCTGAGGTAGCATTTCCAGGGAACTGCAAAGAGGCCAGTGTGGCTGAAGCAAAGAGCATAGGGAGAGAGTAGTGGAAGATGGGATTTGAGAGGCAGGAGTCTGGATTACTCATAGCTTATAGGCCATTTAGAAGTAAAACGGTTTTTTGTCTGAGTGAGATGGAGAGATTAACAGGAGTGTTTTGAGTAGAGAAGTGACAGGACCTGACTTCCACTTAATTAGGGTCATGCTGACTGCCATGATACAGACAGTTGAGGGTGGAAGCAGTGGAGCTAGTGAAGATGTTTTTATACTAATCAACCATTTGTTGCTGGTAAAAACCAAAATGGTAGTGTTGGTAGTAATAAGAAGGAGCTAGATGCTGAATATATTGTAAAGGTTGAACTGACAAGATTTGCTGCCAAGTGTGAGAGAAATAGGAATCAAGGGTTTCTGCCTGAGCAGCTAATGGTTTGAAGAAGCAGGTTTTGGGGGAATGAGCCAAGTGTACTGTATCATTTGACACTATTAAGTGAAATAAACTTTGTAATAAATAATTTCCATCTGATTTCTCCTGAAGTGTTCTAATCATGCACTATGAACACTGGATTTGGCCCTTCTGTGTCTAGCATTGAATCTCTTGTATCAGTTACTTTCTCCTAGGTCGGCTCTCATGGTATTTGTACCTGTTACCTTCATTTTGTCCTGGATGTTAAAGAGGTTGTCAGCAGTGCTTTAACAATCTCTTTTGTCCTTTTCCTTGATTTTCACTGGAGCTGCTGAGTTGAAAATACTGCTCACTCTTTCACTGTCAAACTGACTTGAGGTAGATAAGAGACTGGTTCACTCTGTTCTCCCTGCAGGCGTCCAGAGAGTGGATGAAGGTGGATGGAACACTGTACAAGGGGCCAAGAATAGTCGGGTACTAGACCCCTCAAAATTCCTTAAAATCACTAAGGTGAGTATGACATTTAAAACACAACTTACAACAGCCTGAGAACGTGACTCTCAAAATTATTTCTTGTTCATATAAAACAGCAATATTGCAGATTTTATTGGGGAGTGTTTTTTTTTTTAATGCAGATGCTTTTCTACAAGTCAGTATTGATCCGTGTATTCTTACTACTTGTCCTGGTGTTCTTCTCGTTTCTTGGAGGGTTTACTAAAGTGGAAGTGACAAGTTTAATTCCTAAAGTTAGGAGATGCTTACTATAAGAGAGATGATAATAATGATACTAAAGTAGTTATAAATTATAAGCTTTATACAATGTATCTTTTTAGCTCTGGGGAAGAAGCAACTATCTGTTTAAGCCTTACTTGAAAGGAATATAATGGTTTGCCATATCCAAAGCCTAAAAAGAAAGCATAGAAGACCTACTACTAGAAATCATTCTGTGATGAAGATTTAATATGTTCTACCTTCTTCTCTCTTGAGAATGCATGGGCAGTAAGAGGAAAGAGGTTTCTCTTAGCAGATGTTTTCAGCAGAAGTTGATCACTGTAAGTCAGGTGAAGAACCTTGGAGAACATAGAGAAAGTGGCATTACCTTTTGTAAAAGTGGAAGCTTCTATAGCCCAGTGGGTTTTACAAATCATTTGGAAGTCTCGTTTGATCCTTCCTGTGCAATACACTTTCCATAGTTCTGAAAATTGGCAGCCTACCAGTAGGATATTAATGGCAATCTAAAGCTAATGTGGAAACATCAAATGAAAGAAGAGAACTGACAGAAAGAAAAAGACTTTGAGAAAACTGGAAGAAGATGGGCTGTGTCATTTTCATCTTCATGTCAAAGTATTGCTTCAGGATAGAACATTCCGTCTCTAGATTGCTCTTGATTTTAATTAGCAAGGATCCTGTTCTCTAAGATTCTGGTACATTCTTCTAGTTTTTTATGTCTCATTGCAGGGATTCCATTGCTGAATATAGCTTGATTCCCATCCACTTCTGTTTCTAGCAAGAGACTATTTTAACAAAAATCTTATGTTAAGAGAATCCCTCCAACATCAGCCCCAACATCTTTGAAAATTATATCAGTACTTAATAATAATATTTGTGTTTTTAAATATTGTTTCCATGGATGGATGCTATAAAAAAGAATAATTTTGGTATTAAAACTATAACATTATTAATATTTTTCAAGTTGGTAAATTCTCTTTAAATAAATTTTGTGTATATTCAGGTAGTTACACTATAGGTACTCTACTTAAATACTCTAGATCTACAGTTCAAAACCTTTAAACAAATGCATTGTTAACTGGGAGAGATTTGTGTGACAGCATGTGGTAGAGCAAGGCAGCACTATTAGGATTTATGAACACTTTTATTACAAAGAACCACATTGCAGCTTACTGTGGTATGTGTTTTCTAATTAGTATTACATTATAATTCTATTCACTTGTGCTAAAGTTGTGTTTGGGGGATTAAACCTTAGAGAGGCATCTTAACTTCCTGTCTAATATCCTGTATTCACTTTTTTCTTATTCCCTTTTATTGAATACTGCCATTCCACTTCTCCATCCTTATCCTGCATGTATTAGGCTTTGCTGAAATATGAAATCTTTGTGCCATCTGACCTGTTCTCTAACAGTAATGTGAAGAGATTAATGAGTTAATTTTGTAGTATACAAAATTTATATACTCACTGGGCATTACTAGACAGGAGGAATTACTAGAAACTGCTTACATTTAGTCAAATGGTGTACCATCTTAGAGGACCTGAACGCATTCTCGAGACCAGTGGTTCCAAACTGTTTTGTGGAAGCTGGATTCCAGGAAAGTAGTTCAGGCTCCACCAGAATCCCATGTGAATGTGAACAGCTCCTGTTTATATTTCTTAAATTGGCATTCTAAGGACTATTTTTTTTTTTTTTTGCCAAAGTTGGTTTTCACTGCACTGAAGGGGAAAAGAAGATAAACCATTCTAGGGGCACCCAGGTGGCTCAGTCGGTTGAGCAGCTGACTCTTGAATTCAACTCAGGTCATGATTTCAGGGTCATGAGATCGAGCCCAGCATTGGGCTCTCTGCTCAGCAGGGAGTCTACTTGAGATTCTCTCTTTCCTTCTCCCTCTGCCCCTCCCCGTCACCCGCATGCATGCTCACTGTCTCTCTCTTAAATAAATCTTTATGGAAAAAGATAAACCATTCTTGAATGTTTCCTATAATTGGTTTGTGGTCACTTATGTTACAGCCCACGATTGATGAGAAAATTCAGCTGGTACCTAAAGCACAGCTGGGCAGTTGGGGAAAGGGCAGCAGTGGTGGAGCAAAGGCAAGTGAGACTGGTAAGTATCAAGTGTCCCTTCTCGGGAACCTGGGTGTGGTCTGTCAGTATTCACCTTATAGCACATTCCCACAATCCTTTAATAATGGTTTTAGGAAAAGATCTATAGATGAAGCATGCCCAAACTTAACTGGTGTCCCTCTCACTATGAATCCTTAGGTATTTTAAATATTTACAGTTTTTTTAGTTCAGTTAGGCTGTTTAAGACTTTAATCTCTTAGGTTCCTTTGTTAAAGTTGATACTCACAAACTTAGTATAATTAGAGAAATTACTAGTACCCCAAATGAAAAAGAAAACTCATTTTGCTAAGAAGAAGAATTGTAAAAGGGAGTTGTAAAAGAATTAGAGTGAAATATTTTTCAAAATATTTATCAAAAGTCAGATTTTGGGGCACCTGGGTGGCTCAGTCATAAAACGTCTGCCTTCAGCTTGGGTCATGGTCCCAGGGTCTTGGGATCGAGCCCCGCATCAGGCTCCCTGCTCGGCGGGAAGCCTGCTTCTCCCTCTCCCACTCCCTCTGCTTGTGTTCCTTCTCTCGCTGTGTCTCTCTCTGTCAAATAAATAAAATCTTTTAAAAAAAAGATTTTGAGAGATTTTACCTTAGGACTCAAATGTTTAGATCATCACAAACACATCTTTTTAAAGCTAAGGAAGTCCAAAGGAAAGTAAAAAACTTCAGTGTTAACCTCCTTTCTGTATTTCCCTTCTGCTAAGTAATTATGACCTTTGATTCTTTAAATTTTAAAAAATTGTGTTATTGGGATGCCTGGGTGGCTCAGTCAGTTAAGTGTCTGCCTTCAGCTCAGGTCATGATCCCAGGGTCCTGGAATCAAGTCCCAGATCAGCTGAGCAGGGAGCCTGCTTCTCCCTCTGCCTGCCGCTCCCCCTGCTTGTGCTCTCTCTCGCTGACAAATAAATTAAAAAAACAAATCCTTAAAAAAATTTGTTATTCACTTAAGCCCACATGCAAATTTTACATATAAATAACGTAGGATTTATATTAGCTTTTGTATGTGCAGTACTGTGTTTTATTTTTGCTTGGCTCTCTCCTTCCCTGTCTACCATTCCCACCCCCTTCCCTACCTAGGAAAATTTATTATGTTTTTAAAGCAGCAGACGTTTGTAATGAACAAAGATTTCTAAGTTTTGGGGGTTTTTTGCAGACTAATTCCTTCTTTTTTATTCTTATTTAATTAACATGTAGTGTATTATTAGTTTCAGAGGTAGAGTTTAGTGATTCATTAGTTGCACATAATACCCAGTGCTCATTACATCAAGTGCCCTCCTTAATGCCCATCACCCAGTTACCCCATCCCTCAGACAGACAAATTCCTTCTAACATTATGCTTCTGAGTATGGTCTATGGACCAGGAGATTGACATCACCTTGTTAGGCTTGTTAGGAATACCGCCTTTCTCCCAAGGGAGGCAGATGAATTAGAAGCTGCATTTGAGGGATGCCTGGGTGGCTCGGTCGGTTAAGCGTCTGCCTTTCGCTCAGGTCATGATCCCGAGGTCCTGCTCATCTGGGAGTCTGCTATTCCCTCTCCCTCTCTGCTCCTCCCCACCACTCATGCTCTCTCTCAAATAAATAAAATCTTAAAAAAAAAAAAAAAAAGCAGCTACATTTTTATCATGCAATTTGTATTTTTTCTTCCCTTCAATCCTCAACACCTATAGATGCCTTACGGTCAAGTGCTTCCAGTTTAAACAGATTCTCTGCTTTGCAACCTCCAGCACCTTCAGGGTCTACATCATCTACACCTTTAGAGTTTGATTCCCGACGGACCTTAACCAGGTAAGAAGTCGACTGACCTACTTGTCGATGTCTGTTCTCTCCATCATTCTCTCTTTCTCTGTCTTTCACACATACACACAGAGGCATGCCCACATAGACCATGATAATCATCTTTATGGCATGGATACCTTTTATCCCTAAGGTTGATTTTCTTTTTCTTTTCCTCCTTTGATCTTCACATTCTGTAATTTCCAAGATAACATAATTGAGTGGTAGATTGGGGATGGGGTGGAAAGGAAGAGCAGGTTACCTGTCAAGTTTCTAATAGCTTGTTTCTTAAGAAACCAGACCCACCCAAATAGCCCTGGTGGCTGGTGGAGGGCATGCTAAACTAATGCCTCAGTATGCTCTAGATTAACCTAACACTCCAAAGCACATGAATTAAAGGGCATGGATAGCCTATCCATATGTTTTTCTGTCACACTGTTTTTCAAGTTGTATTTGAGGCTCTCCTTTGTTTCTCACTGTTCTCTGTATTTTACTACTGTCTACTTTCATTTTCGTAGGACTGATACGGTGAAGTGTTCTGTTGGTTAGCTTACAGAGAATAAATAAAGACTGTAGAATAATGACAGAAAACAACAATTTTTAAAATTTTATTTATTTAAGTAATCTCTACATCTAGCATGGGGCTCGAACTTATGACCCCAAGATCAAGAGTCACACAGTCTACCAACTGAGTCAGCCAGGCGCCCCTCAAAATTTTTGACTTAAGCGCTTTTAGTGCTAAAGTTGCTTTAAGCTCTCAAACTTTCTTTTTTATTTTTGTAATCAGTTTGACCAGGTAGACTTTCTAAACTATGTTACTGTTCCCTTGGCTTCTGCAACAAAATATACTTAGCATAATTCAACTTTTAATGATGGCTCAGATTGCCATTAAGCATCATTTGTGGGGTGCCTGGGTGGCTCAGTCGTTAAGCATCTGCCTTCAGCTCGGGTCATGATCCCAGGGTCCTGGGATCGAGCCCTGCGTTGGACTCCCTGCTCAGCGGGGAGTCTGCTTCTCCCTCTCCCACTCCCCCTGCTTGTGTTCCCTCTCTTGCTGTATCTTTCTGTCAAATAAATAAAATTTAAAAAAAAGCATCATTTGTGCTATTGAAGTATTTGTGGCTCTTTGCTCTGCCATAAATTTCCCCTGATGGCTCTGCATTTTGAGTACTTGTGTATGTTCTTTCAGAGGTTAGATCATTGTTGTGCCTCTAGTCATTTCTCTTCTCTCCCTTTTAATTTGCTGCTCCTGATCTGCCAGTGGCCAAGGAGCTATTTGCCCAGCTCATTAGAATTATCTAAACAGGAAGTATAGGGAGTAAATAGGGAGATAGGAAGATTCTCTCTTAAATAAAATGTGTGACTTGGGCCATGCAAAAACTACTTCTGGGGTGCCTGGGTGAAGCAGTCGGTTAAGCATCCAAATCTCAGTTTCAGCTCAGGTCGCGATCTCAGGGTCATGTGATCACATTAGGCTCAGCACAGAGTCGGCTTGGGACTCTCTCCCTCTCCTGCCCCTCCCCCCTGCACTCAGTCTTGTGCTCTCTCTCTCAAAAATAAATAAATCTTTTTTTTTTTTAAAGATTTTATTTATTTGAGAGAGAGAGAATGAGAGATAGAGAGCACAAGAGGGAAGAGGGTCAGAGGGAGAAGCAGACTCCCTGCTGAGCAGGGAGCCCGATATGGGACGCGATCCCGGGACTCCAGGATCATGAACTGAGCCGAAGGCAGTGGCTTAACCAACTGAGCCACCCAGGCGCCCTAAATAAATCTTTTTTAAAAACCAACTTCTACTTGGTTCTCAAAATATTTTACTTATATTTGAAGTTTCTGAATAAATTCTGTAATTTGTAATTACAGGTAATTATAGGTCTTTATTCATTCTCTGTAAGCCAACCAACAGAACACTTCACTATATGATACATAGTGATACCATGTTTTGGTATTCTCTCACTGTTTTAGCTCATACATTCATCACTGTCTTCTTTATTCATAAAAAATTTTAAAAACTAAAAGAGTTGCCATTGACATTTTTTAAATTTTAAGTAGTATCCCTTTTAACATTTGCGAGAAAAGTAGAAGCATGCTTAACATTCTCTTGAAAGCACTGATTTTACTTGTTTATATAAATACAGTTTGAAGTATAATTGGTGCCTCACACCTTTGAAGTTATGTGTGAAAAATTACTCTGCATCCTTTTAGAAAGTCTAAGTGTTATTTTATAATTTGAATATATAGGGGACGGGGTGGTCTTTCTTCTGAAAAGTTTATTTTGTCTTTTAAGTCGTGGAAGCATGGGCAGAGAGAAGAATGATAAGCCCCTTCCATCTGCAGCAGCCCGTCCCAATACTTTCATGAGGGGTGGCAGCAGCAAAGACCTGTTGGACAATCAGTCTCAAGAAGAGCAACGCAGAGAGATGCTAGAGACCGTGAAACAGCTTACGGGAGGCATGGATGTGGAAAGGAACAGTGCTGAGGTTGACCGAAACAAGGCCCGGGAGTCAGGTGAGAGACTTGATACATATAGGTAGGAGATTTGGGCCTTAAATATGGAATGAGAAATGCAGAGGAGACCTCGTGCCTGTGTAGATTTCAGAATCAATGTGTGATAATAACACACTGGTGTCTTCAAAGATAAAGGGCATCTTCATAGTTTTGTAACATTGTTCTCATTTCCCAGGTTATCCCTTTGTTCAACAATTTGTAAATTTTTCCCTTTGTCTAGTAAGTGTGATGGCGACGAGGGCCGCTTGCAGTATATTAAGCAATCTGAATTTCTTACAAGTTTTCAAAATAACAACTCACTGTGCATTAGAGTGCATGTGCTTTGTAGAGCCCTCAAATGTATGAAAATTCTCACATTATTGAGCCACTGCAAGGCAAGCCTAAGAGGAAATGTCAGATCGTCTTTTGCTACCTTAATCTTGGTAACTTCTGTGGTTTTTGTACATGTTTAGTATGCATATGACAGGAGGACCAACTCCGATAATGCTCTAAAAATTACTATCATGAATGTAACCTATCTGTGTTTCTATTTTCTCATCTGTTATATGGGGATAGTAAATGTACCTCCCTTATAGAATTATGGTGAAGATTAAATGAGAAGTTAAAACAGGTAAATACTTAGAACATTATCTGATAAATACAGATTTTTGAAAAGGTACTAGATGTCATGATGATGATGATGGCAACAATGAAAAATAGATTAAAGATAATTTTCAACATTCTTAAAATCTTAATTCTGAAGTGATACTGGTTGTTTATAACATTTTTATAGCTTCCAAATTTGTTTCAGTATTTAAATTATGTTTCCTAACTATAGTATCTAAATGGATTCAAAGACAAATTGAAATGTCTTCTCCCAAATCTAGACTTCAGATCTTTTAGCTTTGGGACATGTGGCTTTCTTACCTATGGTAGGTATTTGGGGAACATAACAAGATAGGGCATGAAAATATCATGTGTGCAGTAAATAATATAGTACAGCTGCTCTCTGCATGTTTATGTTTACTGTCTGGGTCATTCGTTTATTCACTACATGCACACTGACCACCTAGTGAATTGTGGGCACAGGATCTCCCTCTCAGCCTTCAGTCATATACAAGTACAAACAGAGAAGAATGCTATGGAGGAGAGGAGCGGAGCTCTAAAAGAGTACTTAACAAAGAACTATCTAGAATTGACACAGAGGGATGTCAGGGAAGGTTTCCCCCAGGTCTGATGGACCAGTAGGAATTAAACAGGTTTATAGGGAGGGATGGGTATGGAGCAGAGAGAAAGAGCATTCCATCCATCCAGGAGGAGCACCATGAGCAAAGTAATAATAAATAGGTAGAACCATGGCATGTTCAAGCAACTGCCCAAGGCCAATGTGGTTAGAGCTCTGTGCGTGATCGTGCAAGCTTCATGTGCTCTTCATCATTGAAGCAGTGGAGAAGAATCAAAATGCAGAAAGGAACAAAAAGGCTTTAAGTATAAAAGTTTACTATATCCCTATATTCTTTTAATTGTAGAATATGAAGTTACTTGGTGTGTATATCTGTGCTACAATAAACATTTCTCTTTTCTGCTTTTAGATGTCTTGCCTTGTCAAATTTGTATCTAATGCTTTTATGGAAAAATCAATGTAACAACACATAAATATTGTCAACCATAATCCCACCATTTTAATGATAATTTTTGTCATTTTTACTTTCACTTTTTTTAACCTCAGTAGTAGTGAAACCAGAAATTCCAGCAACATCAGCTCCTGACAAGCCAGCATTGTCAGAATTGGAGATGGAGAAGAAGTCCAAATCTATCATTGATGAATTTCTACACATTAATGATTTTAAGGTAAACGAAATTAAAAAAAAAAAAAGGCAACAACACAGAAAGCCCTGTAACAGATACAGTAACTTGGCTCTGGTCTAAGTCACTTGTCACTAAGACTTTGAGTAATCCAAGTCCCACACAGTTCAGTTTGCACAACTCTGATGCACTCTTGCCAACTATTCTCTTTTAAATTGATAATGGAGTTCCATTATCATCCATCCTTCCTGCATCACATGGCAGGAAGGGAGAATGGCCACCAGTCCATCCCCACTGTGGGATAACCACATTGACTTTGATACTCATGAACAAAAAACAACACATCACCGTTATTAGGAATTCCTGTCTCCCTATATATTGCCTCTCATGATCTTCACAATCATTTTATCATCATTCTTGTATTAACTTTGAAGTATGGCTGATGTTACTTTATATTTATTTCCTAAGTAGAAAACTGAGGCACCAAGGAGTAAGCAATGTGTCAGGGTCAGACAGCTTAAGTGAAACATTCAAGACCCAGCTTTGAATCTGCCATTCTTGAGCCCTAACCTTCTCTTTGATCTTCATTTTAAGATGGTAGTGAATAAGATAGACATAATGCCTGACTTCATGAGCCCTATAGTCTCGTGGCAGAGACAGATCATAAAGACTTAACTCCACAGATTAAGTATTTAAATTGTAGTTATAATAAATGCCAGTAGATCAATGGGTCTTAGGAAGATTATATAATAGTACCTAGTTTAGGGATCTGGAGTCAGCAAAGGCTTATCTGTTAAATTATTTGTCAGATATATTAACTATTTTTGCTTTGGCATTATATTAAAAATTCTTTCAACCTTACTTGTTCTCTCAACCGTGTAGTCATTATTTGCTTTCTCTACTTAACAGTCACCTTGATTAACTATAGCCCAGCCTTCCAAAACCCTCAAGCCTCTGAAATTGTCCAAAATTGAGAAGTACTACTAAGAAATTTTGATGATGAGCCAGATAGTTGGAGAGGATATACTCTGTCAGTGAGCAACAAATACTTAGGAGAAAAGTATGACCCTATGATGAACTGGAGACATAGGGAAAAAAAGACATTAGTAACACCTAAGTGCAACAGGAGGGCTCTCTGAAAAATCAGCCCTAGGCCTGGCCTGCAGGATGGAAGAAACAGTCAGTTAGGACTCAGGAATTTTTGCTTGCTTTCTTTTTTTCTTTCTTTCTTTCTTTTTCTTTCTTTCTTTCTTTTTCTTTTTTTTTTTTAAGATTTTATTTATCTGACAGAGAGAGGGAGAGAAAGAAAGCACATGCAGGGGGAGCGGCAGGGAGAGGAAGAAGCAGGCTTCCCACTGAGCAGAGAGCCTGATGTGGGGTTTGGTCCCAGGATCCCGGGATCATTACCCGAGCCGAAGGCAGATGCTTAACCAGCTGTGCCACCCAGGCGCCCAGGGACTCAGGAATTTCATTGTACAATGTACAAGGCAGCTCTGCTGTGCAGTGATGATAAGAACCAGGAAATATTGTCAGACATAGGGCTTACTATGTGCTAGGTGTGCTGTTCTACATATTTTATATGTATTAGTTCATTTAATCCTCAGGAGGATCATCCTCCTGATCATCCTCCCTAATAATAATAATATTATTATTATAATAGCCATTTTTATACATACGGAAACTGAGAGGCAAAGATGTAAAATAACTCGCTCTGGGCCATGCTGATGATAAGTAGCCTACTCAGGATTTAAAATTAGTTTTCTAGGGGCGCCTGGGTGGTTCAGTCAGTCAAACATCTGCCTTCCCCTTGGGTCATGATCCCAGGGTCCTGGAATCGAGTTCCGCATCAGGCTCCCTGCTTAGCCTGCTTCTCCCTCTCCCTCTGCCTGCCGCTCCCCCTGCTTGTGCTCTCTCTTTCTAATAAATAAATAAAATCTTTAAAAAAATAAATAAAAATAAAAAATAAAATTAGCTTTCTAGGGGCGCCTGGCTGGCTCAGTCAGTAGAGCATGTGACTCATGGTCTCAGGGTCATGAGTTCGAGCCCCACATTGGGAATAGAGATTACTTAAGAAAATAAAAATGGGGCACCTGGCTGGCTCAGTCGGGAGAGCATGCAACTCTTGATCTCAGGGTTGTTGTAGGTTTGAGGCCCACGTTAGGTGTAAAGATTACTTAAAAATAAAATATTTTTTAAAAAATAATAAAATTAAGCTTGGAGTTTCAGAGCATAGATTGTATCTTATTACCTTTAGCGTTTTAGTATATTGTGCTAAAGGCTTACAGAGCACATCCTAAGAGGTTTTTCTAGCATCTTAGTAGGTGCTATTATTATTAAAAAATTGGGGTGCCTGGGTGGCTCAGTTGGTTAAGCATCCAGCTCTTGATTTTGGCTCAGGTCATGATCTCATGGTTCTGAGATTGATTTTAGCGGGGAGTCTGCTTGAGGATTCTCTCTCCTCTTCCCTCTGCCCCTCCCCCAGCTAGGATTCTGTCTCTCTCTCAGATAAATAAATCTTTTTAAAAAATAATACAAATTATTATTTATTGAGCCTTTGTTTTGTGTTTGGCAGCGTGCCCAGTCCTTTTCTTATGTATATTCCTCACAGTAACTCTATGACAAGAAGTTAAGACTGAAAAATTGTTACACTCCTAAACTCACATAGTAGTAAGTAGCAGAGCCAGGATTCAAACCTACATTTGTCTGACTCTACACCCTGTGTTTTTAGCCTCTGTGATATATAGTCATTGAGTACCTAAAATGTGCCAGCCACATTTTGGGAAGACCTGGGTATTCTGTCGTATATATAGTGAACAACATAGTCTACTTCTGTGGGTTATTTGTGGAACTTACCATCTAATGGGAGATAGCTGCCCTAAAGATAGCTAATAAATAAACAACAAATACAAAAAGAAAAATAATGTTTCGGTGCAGAGAAGTAAAACTAGGTGATATGATAGCCGGTGATATGATAGCCAGTGATTGGACAGTCACAGAGACCATAGGAGGTGTCCTTTCAGCTGAGTACTGAAAGAAATAAGAATCAAACGATGAGAAAATGAGGGAAAGGGCAAGATTATGAATTGCTGAGACATTAAAAGTACCATGATAAAGGGGCGCCTAGCTGGCTCAATCAGTAGAGCAATGTGACCCTTGATCTCGGGGTTGTAAGTTCGAGCCCCACGTTGGGTGTAGAGATGACTTAAAAATGAAATCTTTTTTTAAAAAGTACAGTGATCTAGTTAGTTGACGCTATGTGCAGATCCAGTGAATAAATTCCCACTGGAAGACACTTAATCACTTGATGGAGCACCTGGCTGGCTCAGTCGGGAGAGCATGAGACTCTTGATCTCGGGTCGTGAGTTCGAGCCTCATGTTGGCTGTAGAGATTACTTAAAAATAAAATCTTTTTTAAAAAATGAAGACATTTAATCACTTCAGGTTAAATACTAAAGATATGTGCATTCATTGCCATGCTCTTCTAAAAAAGCATTATAATGATGATGGACTTTAAAATGAGGAACTCACAAGGGTAAAGAACATAGGAAATAGACAGCAGCAACATTCTGGAAGTTAGAAATTAGAAGGATGGGTGGTCATTTATTCAATAGGCTATGAATGTGCATAAGGTGCAGATGGGGCTGAAAAACGAAGGATTGATTGGTTAAAAGTGTATTTAAGACAGTTTTATGTGACACCTGGGCCGAATGTTTCCAAAAATACCAATATCATAAAAAGATAAAAGGGAAAGGACTGATCTAGATTAAAGTAGTCTAAAGAGACATCGTGCACCTTGACATGTGATGTTGGGTTTTTCGTTGTATCCTAGAGCAACAAAAAGCTATATTGGACATTTGGGGACAATTGTGGAAATTGTGAATATATACTATATATGTATCAGATAGCATTTATTTTATTTTTTTTAATTTTTATTTCTAAAGATTTTATTTTTTTGACAGCGAGAGACACAGCGAGAGAGGAAACACAAGCAGGGGAAGTGGGAGAGGGAGAAGCAGGCTTCCCGCCGAGCAGGGAGCCCGATGCAGGGCTCAATCCCAGGACCCTGGGATCATGACCTGAGCCGAAGGCAGATGCTTAACGACTGAGCCACCCAGGTGCCCCCAGATAGCATTTTTTTTAAAGATTTATTTATTTTATTTATTTATTTATTTTAAAGATTTTATTTATTCATGAGAGACAGAGAGAGAGAAGCAGAGGGAGAAGCAGGCTCCCCACTGAGCAGGGAGCCCGACGCGGGACTCAATCCCAGGACCCTGGGATCATGACCTGAGCCAAAGGCAGACGCTTAACCATCTGAGCGACCCAGGCGCCCCAAGATTTATTTATTTTAAAGCAAGCAAACCTGAGTGGGGGTAGGGGCAGAGGGAGAGAATCTCAAGAAGACTCCCTGCTGAGTGTGGAGCCAGATGCAGGGCTCCATCTCTCTCGACCCATGAGATCCTGACCTGAGCTGAAATCACAAGTCTGATGCTTAACCAACTGAGCCACCCAGGCCCCCCTATCAGACAGTATTTTTATTGACATTATATGGATATTAAAATCCTTACATATATGTAAAGAGAACTAACAATTGATGAATCACAATTGAAGTGAAGCTATATTGTACTCTTCAATTTCTCTGTAGTTTGAAAGTGTTTTAGATAAAAAGTGGATGTGGGGGAGGTATGAAATAAAATAGCAGAGGGAAAATAAAGCAGTGGTGAGAAACTTGGATGTGCCTTCCTCCCTTCCTCAGTCAGGAGGCTGCCCTTCTCACATGTATCTTCACCCTCAGAAGAGCTACTCTCTTCAGAGGTTCAACCAGAGGATTTTGGATTCAGACAGAATTGAGTAGCTGAGGGCAGGGAGGCGCACACTGCTGTATTGGTGATTCAGCAACCCTGGCTTCCAGGCTTCAAAGACATGAACCTAGCCAGATCACCCTGTGGTAAGGACCATTTCACAAGCCCCACACCCCAAGAACTTCCTAAAAGGTTTTAGTACTTAAGCTAACCTTAATTCCTGGGAAGGAAGACCTTCACTGAAGATTTTGCAAATATTAACGTACCCGAACAGAATTATCTCAGTTGCCATAGTGAATCGTTTGACTCATGCTATTGAATCTGTTTCATAATATGCCATTTTCAGTTTTTTAAATGAGTGTAACACAGGTAAACATTTTTAGAAAAATACATTTTTGACTCTGGTTCTTTGAGTAATCTGTAGTGAAATTGTTAACCTAAATACATTAACCTTGTAAAGATCCTTTATTCTTTTGTTTTTAAATATGACTAATATTGCCCATATCAGCCTGCAATTTACCGAGCTATATTAATGTTTAAAAAAAATACTTGAAAACTATCTTGTTTGTGGAGCTTTCTACTCTGTCATAAGTATAAGATTTTAAACACTTATTTTAACACTCTGGTAATGGGATCCAGGTTTTAGAGTAAGCTTTTATTTGCTGTTTGAACAGGAAGCCATGCAGTGTGTGGAAGAGCTGAATGCCCAGGGCCTGCTACATGTGTTTGTGAGAATGGGAGTGGAGTCCACCCTGGAAAGGAGCCAGATCACCAGGGATCACATGGGCCAATTACTCTATCAGCTGGTGCAATCAGAAAAACTCAGCAAACAGGACATTTTCAAAGGGTCAGTATCCTCCTCAAGAGTGGTATTCAGTTTCTAGGCTCTTGAGTAGTGGTTAATTTTAAAAGTACATAAATTTTTAAGTATTTTCATAGAGTAAAATTATGTCTAGTATAATGTGTTGATGTATAATATTTTGATAGTATGTTGGTGGATATTATGGCATTTGGTGTAGATTGTGCTAGGGCATAAAGGTTATCTCCTGGTTTCCTAAATTTTGTTAGACCTGTATTACGGTGTAAGTAAGGTAGCAGAGACCCCTTAACCTCGGGGAAACTCAGGCCCTCACCAGCCCATTTACATGGAAACTCTGCATGTTCTTTGAGGAAAAAGCTCTTTTTGTGTGAGGAAAATTCTGGATAATCGACTTAAACCTAAAAGCCTTATCCTTTCAATAAACTGTGGTTATGGACGCCTGGGTGGCTCAGTCGTTAGGCGTCTGCCTTCGGCTCATGTCGTGATCTCAGGGTCCTGGGATCGAACCCCACATAGGGCTCCCCAGTCCGTGGGAAGCCTGCTTCTCTCTCTCCCACTCCCCCTGCTTGTGTTCCCTCTCTCGCTGTGTCTCTCTCTGTCAAATAAATAAATAAAAATCTTAAAATAGGGGCGCCTGGGTGGCTCAGTCGTTAAGCGTCTGCCTTCGGCTCAGGTCATGATCTCAGGGTCCTGGGATCGAACCCTGCATCGGGCTCCCTGCTCGGCGAGAAGCCTGCTTCTCCCTCTCCCTCTTGCTCTGCTTGTGTTCCCTCTCTCGCTGTGTCTCTGTCAAATAAATAAATAAAATCTTTAAAAAAAAATCTTAAAATAAACTGGTTATTTTGGCCAATGAATGTTTGTCCACTCTAGCCTCCTAGAGGGGGTTAACTCCAAATTGTTAATGATTTAATCTGTTCCAGATTAGTTTCATTATGATTCTTGTTGATGGCTGCTTTGATGAAGTCTGGCTGTCACTAGTGTTGTATACTCATCAGATCAGGTTCTGATATGTTTGTGATCATCACATGTGCATGGATTGGATTCTTTGCGGTACAGCCCAGAATCTTACCCAGGCTTAGGTTCTGACATCAATGTTTAAGGCAAAAATTTCGTTTTAGGAGCCATGTTGTGCAAATGTAAACATAGAAACACACGCACCATTGCCAGGTGCCCATTCTCTAATCAATCAGGAACTAAGACCTCCTGAAGGCTGAACATCAGATTCACATCTCACATTTCATCCTCATCGTATATGTTCATTGGGTAGAATGGCAGTAAGAATTCTGCATTATTTATTTTTCTCTTTATAAATCATTTTGGCCAAGCTCATAGTACATTCTTTTAAATTAAATGCACATGTGATGAAATGCCACTGTATGTCTTTCAGATATGGTCAACCCTTAGAATAAGGTAACCATTAAATGCCAAAGTTGAATGTTTTTAGGAATAATTACTCATTTGATTTTGTGAGGAATGATGACAGTGTCTTCAAGGTCTTAGAAAATATATACTTGCCCCTAGGATGATTAATAAGCTGTCTTTCAGCAATAAGGTAGTTTGCGATGAGTTCATTGAATGACTAGATTAAGGCCATCTACCTTAGTAAGTAGTTACCTTAGTAAGAAACTGTGGCTAAAGTTGCTAGTACTGTTGGCCTTTAAGATTTAGATGGTTTCCCAGTTTCAAAAAGAGAAATCAGTTCACTCTAATAACCAGCCAGTGTAAATAGAGCAAGTGAGGGTATATGAGCCCTCACAAATTTTCTGTGCCTACCAACTTGAAATTACAATGTCAAGCCCTGCAAACTATAGCTGAGGTCACGATTATATTAATTTATAAATATTTGCTTCTTTCTCATCTATTATGATGTATTCACCAGAAAATATTGTAAATGAGAATGCTGGATTACTGTTTACCCTTTCTCTCTTTCTTCAAACTATACTCTTAAGTTTATTTGTATCTAGAAAGACCCCAGGAAGTGGGGTCTAGCTTCATTGCCTCATTGAACTTGTGAGGTGCTAGCTTGATTTCTAGACTATCTCAGATGTTGGTATTTCCCTTTGGGGGATTCCTTGAGGAAAAAGTGTCATACACAGACATCCTGTCTACACTTTCATTGGTGGTGGTGCTGTTGCTGCTGCTGGCAATACAACCACCACCTTTTATTTATACTGCAAATGAGATTAACATTTCTGTGTCTCAGTAGCTACTTCATCTTCCTCTATCCCTACTTCCTTCTCCAGCTAGAGATAATGCAGTGACTCCAGACCTCGCTTTTGATACTTTGTTAGACCTAACCAGGTCATCCTTAGGCCAAGATCCCTATGAAGACCCCTGTTCCTTCCTAAATGGAGAGGCCCAGCAGTTTTTTCTAAGATGGACACAAAGTGATAGCCACTTGTCATTTACCCACCAAGAGCTTTCTTGCAAAAAGATCAGTTTCCCATTTACTTCTAAAGCCCAAATTATAAATAGTTCATACTGTCCAGAGAGGCCATTTCATTTGAGCCATGGAAATACCCTGAGTCTTTTGTCTCTTCAGTCCCAATATCCAAAGACCTTTGTCTTTACGTAGCATTGTGGGCAAACATCTAAGGTCAGCTTCCTAGGATGCTGCTACCCCTTAGATGCTAATTTCTAATGTTTTGAATTTCTTTGTTTTGTTTTGTTTTTTAAAGATTTTATTTATTTGAGAGAGAGCACAAGCGGGTAAGGAGCAGAGGGAGAAGCAGACTCCAGGGGGGTGAGGGGCAGAGAGAGAAGAAGAAGCAGACTCTCCACTGAGCAGGGAGCCGGATGCGGATCATGACCTGAGCTGAAGGCAGACGCTTAACTGAGTGAGCCACCCAGGCTTCCCTTCTGAGCAGTTGTTAAAGCTATTTCTGCCCAGCTCCCCAAGCCACAGATGGTTGAAGGTAGAAGGCCTCCCTGTTTACTGGGCCCTGATCAGCCAACTATTAATCTGCCATTTCTGGGCCCTGATCAGCCAACTATTAATCTGCCATTTCTTCTACAGAACGCACTGCTACTGAATTCTAATACTAGACAGAAGTTTCAAATAGGCTAGTGTGTCACATTGTTTACCAGATAGTTTATCAACTCCAAGCATAATTGTTGCCGCGTATAAAACAGAATCCCCATGGGGCGCCTAGGTGGCTCAGTTGGTTAGGAATCTGACTCTTGGTTTCTGCTCAGGTCATGATCTCAGGGTCATGGGATTGGGCCCTGCATTGGGCTCCACTCTCAGTGTTGAGTCTGCTTGAGATTCTCTCTCTCCCCCTCTCCCTCTGCCCCTCCCCCTGTTCGTGCTCTAGCTCACTCACCGAGCTCTCTCTCTCTCAAATAAATTAATCTTAAAAAAAAAAAACATAGGGTGCCTAGGTGGCTCAGTCATTAAGCGTATGCCTTCGGTTCAGGTCATGATCCCAGGGTGCTGGGATCGAGCACCGCATCGGGCTCCCTGCTCAATGGGAAGCCTGCTTCTCCCTCTCCCACTCCCCCTGCTTATGTTCCCTGTCTCACTGTGTCTCTCTCTGTCAAATAAATAAATAAAATCTTAAAAAAAAAAAAAACAACTCTTCTTTGTAGTGATCCTGTGAATATGATACTAAAGTGTAAGAAGCTTTCATCTTCATTTATTTCTTCCTTTTACCTGTAATTAGATTCTTTTATGACCAGTCATAATAATACTTGACCTGATTTTTAGATGTCCTCACTGTCTCTCTTTTCGTTTATCTTTATCAAGATATATTTTTAATTATCACAAAGGAAATTGTAGGAGATGCTGCTGATAATACCATTTCCCATTATGAAAGATTGCTTTGCCTTTTCAGCAAATTTCTGATCAGAACTTCAGTGAACTAAAAAAATTTTTTTACTTTTAACCATGTACCCCTTTAATTAAATTTTAGATGGGAACGCATATATAAAGTAAGTAAAAGCAGAGCCTCCTTAGTTGAGATGGAGGGAGGGATGCCTAAAGTCCCACCTGTGGACTTCACCAAAGTTTAATCCATTGGGTGTAATGGCCACTATGTACCAAGAAGCAAGGGTATGGTGTAGCTCTGTTTCATTCGTTCAGCCAGCAGAAAATGTGTATTATACAAGGCATTGTTACAAGCTATGTAATAGGCCAAAGACATAAAGGTAATTACCTAGGAGCTTTTGTACACCATGTGTTTTTCTTTAAGAAATGTACAAAATGATTTAGGAACTGTAAGTCTGAAAAGATACAAGCCTCTTACAAGCTTGTTCTATAGAAACCCTATGTTGGCCGCCTGGGTGGCTCAGTCGTTAAGCGTCTGCCTTTGGCTCAGGTCATGGTCCTGGGATCGAGCCCCGCATCGGGCTCCCTGCTCAGCGGGAAGCCTGCTTCTCCCTCTCCCACTCCCCTTGCTTGTGTTCCCTCTCTCGCTGTGTCTCTCTCTGTCAAATAAATAACTTCTTAAAAAAAAGAGAGAGAAGAAACCCTATGTTCAGCAGTATGGATTTGACCAGTGATTGTGTTCTGCAGACTGTCTCATGATGAACTGACTAATCAAGAAAAAGAAAACAAAGACAAGAATATGGGTATCTTCTAGTTGTAATATGAGATGAAAACCACAGATCTACTGCTGAGAGACCTGGGCAGCTATAGTTGTCTCATGGACTCATTAAATAGCTTAATCTATGCCACTAAGCATAGAACATGAATTGACATTATAGGATGATTAGCCCAGAAATTGTGGAGTCCAGCCAGATTATGTTCCATCAGTGGCACATTAACTGAGCCTAAAGTGTGCACATAATGAGAGAATAGTCAAGTTAATCTGTTGTACAGCAAATAGATGTCAAATCATTATGAGCTGTGAGGCCAGAAAGTTGGCATTAAGGATTCATGAAGCCCAGAGTTAAGTAATGTCACAGAGCTACAAACTGTTTTGAAATGGCACCTTCAGAAAGGTAACCCTGCCTTGTAGTGGTCTCTTTTTAAGTGAGAATTTTCAATGGCGTGTAGACCTCTATGGTAGGTACACAGAATGGCGTACTCTAGTTACAAACTGAACTACGTGAAAAAGCACACATTTTCTGTGTGCAGAGATCTGGAAGGCTGTGAAGACAAATACACCTGCCTGTGCCCCAACAGTCATTCATCCCTTTCTTTACAATTACATGTATGGCCTTGTAACTATGTGTATGTCTCATTTACAAATTTACTTTTGTTTTTGTCCCTTTTAATATGCTGTATATGGGACTAACTAACAAAATCTTGAATTAATGTTTTTATACTTCTAAATGAATAGCTGTGACTTTTCACCCTAAAAATAAGCTCTTGAGAACAAGAATTTATTTATTTATCAGTTACTTCATGCCTAGCATAGTATCTAACATAGTAGGTGCTTTAATAGATATTTGTTGACTGATTTTTGGTCTTTTTATTTAATCTTACCTTTTGAATTACATTTGTGTGAATTTTTCTCTTGTTCTTTTTCAGTTTTTCAGAAACATTGGAATTGGCAGATGACATGGCTATTGATATTCCCCACATTTGGTTGTACCTTGCTGAACTGGTGACCCCCATGTTAAAAGAAGGCGGAATCTCCATGAGAGAACTTCTCATGTAAGTTGTACTTTTTGTTTTTGTCTTTGTTTTTGTTTGTGTGTGTGTGTGTGTGTGTGTGTGTGTGTGTGTGTGTAGCAAGCTAATCTGATGCCAAATTTACCAGCTAACTCTAGCATAGTGTTCTTCCCTTGGTCCCTTTGGAGGCTCTTGGTTGTAGCCTGTGACTCTTTACAACTTCTCATTTTAGGGGATTAAGAAGTACAAACTGTTACAAAGTAAATAAGTCATGGGGATGAAAAGTATAGCATAGGGAATATAGCCAATAATATTATAATAACTTTGTATGGTGACAGATGGTAACTGCACTTATCATGGTGAGCATTTTAGTCAAATCACTGTGTTGTACACTTGAAACTAATACAACTATACCTCAATTTTAAAACAAGACATTTCAGTATAAAAATGTTACATTACACTGTATGTACAGTGGAGAAGTCATGGGGATATGATAACCCTGTGGTCCATTGAGGTTAGCAGTTTTTGTAGATAGGGCTCCAGAATCACTTAACTGGAAAGTTATTGCTCCTGGAAACAATGTTGATCTGACTTTTATGTCTGTCATTGCTCAAATGCTATGAGAAGTTATTTCTACATAATAGCTTATCAGACTGACACCTGCATAGTACATGCTCTGGTTATAATAAAAGGAACTGCATCTTAGGCATTCCTAGATTCGGACAGGAGTTGGAAATTGTTGCTACATTGTACAGACTAATTTTTCCTAAACTCTTCTTTACATTAGTATTTCCCCAAAAATTGTTCATATAGTCAAACTCCACATACTATGGGTCCCTTTTGTTTGAGGTTCACAGCATATTAAAGAATATGAGAATTCTGTAGTAAAACAAAACAACAAAAACTATTTAACTTTGGGCACCTGGCTGTCTCAGTCCGTAGCGTATGTGACTCTTCATCTCACAGTCATGAGCTCAAGCCCCACATTGGGCATAGAGCTTACTTTAAAAAATCAAATATAAATTAAAGAAGAATTTTTGGCCTTGTTTAATTCAGCATTGCTCACTTAATTGTAGAATCCTTTTCTTGAGGAATAATTTTTCATATCCTATGGAACACAGTGTGGGAAATACTGATTTAGACTATGAAAAAAAATGCTCCCTTTCTGTTTCATCCATAGTCTAAAGAACAGCTTCCTTTCTTAAAAATACTTCATGACTAAACTTTGCAACTCCCTCTTAACTAAGGTTCTTCTCTCCTCTAGGCTTGAAGTAGTATTTATGTAAATAGATGATTGAGATTGATCATTGCATTGCTTCGGTCACTGAGGCAATTAAAGAAAAAGGCAAAACCCAGGAATTCTAAGGTCCCTTTCTAGCTTCTCCATGAAGCATAAAGTGAACCTGAAGTCTGAACTACTTCTGCTGAACATTACTTAGAGCATGTCCTGGAGCTTTCTCTTGCCCATTATTATTTAGGTTGCATAGTATCTGTTCTTTTGGCACACATTGTTTGCCTACTGTTCTAGAATAGGGAGTTTGTTCAGAGGAACTTAATCACTACTCCTGTCTTTTACAGAGAATTTAGCAAACCTTTACTTCCTGTTGGAAGAGCTGGGGTCTTGCTTTCTGAAATATTGCACCTTCTATGCAAACAAATGGTGAGTGTTAAACTGAGTGTCAGACTCAACAGCATATTAGGAAGGGCAGTGATTTTTGATCTTGAGTTATCTGTGAATAGCTTAGGTATCACTGTGCAAGTATTTCTGTAGCCTTTTATTATTTGAAAAGAAGAGTGAGATCTCTGTTTCAATGTCTTACAGAGGTGTATTTCTCCTTCTGTTAGTAGTAACTTGGGAAAGAATTATATAATCTCAACTGGATTTGGTATAATTCTAAAGAATCTCAAAATATGTTGTATTTGTGGCTAGTAATTTTATCTTCTTGAAACAAAAAGGCTACATTATTTATACTTTTTAATAGATTTCAGTGAAAACTCCTTGCTTTCAGAGAAAGGTATGATGCCTAAAATGATTACTTTTCTTAATTTTGGATCTCAGGCTAGGCAATCTGATTAATAACAGGTGTTAAAAATGATTCTACAGGATTGTGAATTGCTGTCTTAAAGTTAAATTTAATTTAGTTTAATAAATACTGCACATTTCTCTGCAAAGCTCTATGCCAGGATCCCAGTTTACAAAGATAACTAAGCCTTCAAAGAATTCATAAACTAGAAAGGGAGATAGATAAGTTTAAACCAAGACTTTCAAAAAAGTGTATCAGTGCTATATTAGAGGTCTAAGAGGTTTGGGCAAGTGGTGTTAACAACACCTGGGGTGAGAAACATCAAAACAAAACTCATTCATGAAAATTCTGGGGTGATTTCTGACTTATTCAAACCAGAGCCAAAGGTATTGGGATGATAGATTTCATTGTTTTATAGGCATCAGTAAAAATGTTTTGTTTCATTTCTCCCTCTGAATGTACAGAAGTCCCTTTGTATTACATCACTGTACCAGTTATTCATGGACGGGTGTACTAAATAGCCTGGTCTCTAGTTCTAGTTGATTATTTGTTATTAGTACTATTTGCTTGATGGCACTAAAGTTTTTATCAAACCCTAATTTGTAGGTCCAGAATTCCTTCCTCCTTTCCTAACCTACTTCACTTTAGTCCTTATTAAAAAGTTAAATTCTTATTAACGTTTATATGTAGAAACAGAAAGCAAATTCTCATTTCTCCTAACCAAGTTCTCATAGAGCATAAATTCTGGAGTCAGCCTGAGTTTAAATCCTGACTTTGGTAAGTTATCAGCTATGCCTTGGGAAAGTTACTCTATGAAATAATCAATACATGTTTCATAGCTGGTAGCCGCGGCTCAAAGGCTGACATTTCCCTTTCTCACTGTGACTTTATTTAGGCAGTAGACTTGTACCTTCTCATCAGTTTTCCGGCTGACAACAGCTCTTCTCTGTTGTTTCTTGGGCTCAACCTTATTCCTCTTGTCCTTGAAATACTTCTCATTCCTGGTTCAGGAGCAGCAGCCTCCTTAGTCATTCTCATGTTAGCATAATTGTGATCTACTATGAAGAGGGGGGGGATTCCAGTGAGGCTTGATGAATGGCTTTAACAGCAGATGTATATAACACCATCTAGGACAAGAGACACTCTTGAATTTATGAACTCTGTGAATTGAACTTTTTTTAGGTGCTTATATTCATAAATCCCAAACATGCGTTTAGAGTTCCCCAGATTAGTCATCTGATAAAGTAAGTTATTGAACCTTAAACAGCTGTATCACAGCCGTTCACTGTTATATTTGCATACATTCAGACATCTTGGTGTGAAAGCCAGGAGTCCTGAGAAATTAACTTCATATCAACAAGGGAAAGTTTTGAGTTTTCATTCTTTACAATTCTATACTCTTAACTTCAAGCAAGCCTTCTCCTCTCCTCCCCCTTCCCCCTCCTCCTCCTCCTCCTTCTTACCACAATGTAAAAGTAAATGGATTGGACTTATCTCTGTTTTAGAGCCATAAGAAAGTGGGAGCCTTATGGAGGGAGGCTGACCTCACCTGGAAGGACTTTTTACCAGAAGGGGAAGATGTACATAATTTTCTCTTGGAGCAGGTAAGTAAGAACAAGGCTTATACCTTCCTGTTTAATAGTTGTTGGTCTGTTTCATAGAATAAATGAAGGTAATTTCATTAGTAGTTCAGTCATTAAAAGTAGACCAAAATAAGAATCATGGTCAAAATGTCATTTTAAGTCCATGCTTTAGGGCCACTCCAGCTATTCACTTATTAGATGATAGATAAAAATAAAATATAAAGGATTTAGCCACACACAGAAAACAAGCTACATATCTCCATGAACCACAAAGGAAGTTGATAAATAAAGCATGGGTAGTAGGACTAAAGCTATAAGTCTTCTGAGCTCTGGTTCTAAAAACCAGTAGAGACAGGCAGAAATTATTTCTGTGAGGTAATGAGGACTAGTATGCCCCTTATAGGGCAGAAAATTGGAGGACAGTCTTACTGCATGAAACCATGTAGGAACTCCATAGAAAGATAAATGCAAGGAAACAGACACAGACGTAGAGCCAAAACCTTACCTAGGCTGTCCGCTTGGTAACTGGATCCAGAAATCCACAACAAGCAGAAGACCCCATGGTCAATATAATATGGTTCTCAATAAGGAATTGTAGGGGATCAGATAGAGGCAACCATAAAAATATTAGATGAGGAAGAGTGACAGAGAAAGGAAACAACTCACTCTCAAAATGATCTTGTAGGGGCACCTGGGTGGCTCAGTCATTAAGCATCTGCCTTCAGCTCAGGTCATGATCCCAGGGTCCTGGGATCGAGCCCCGCATCGGGCTCCCTGCTATGCAGGAAGCCTGCTTCTCCCTCTCCCACTTCCCTGCTTGTGTTCCCTCTCTCGCTGTGTCTTTCTCTGTCAAATAAATAAATAAAATTTAAAAAAAAAAAAACATGATCCTGTAAGGGTCTCCTGGGTGACTAAGTCCGTTAAGTTTCTGCTTTTGGCTCAGGTCATGATCCCAGAGTCCTGGGATCAAGTCCTGCATTGGGCTCCCTACTCAGTGGGGAGCCTGCTTCTCCCTCTCCCTCTGCCACTCCTCCTGCTTGTGCTCTCTCTCTCTGTCAAATAAATCAATAAAATCTTGTGGGAGGGATGGGGTGGCTGGGTGATAGACATTGGGGAGGGTATGTGCTATGGCGAGTGCTGTGAATTGTGCAAGACTGTTGAATCACAGATCTGTACCTCTGAAACAAATAATGCAATATATGTTAAGAAAAAAAAAAGCAGGAGGGGAAGAATGGAGGGGGAGACGAACCATGAGAGACGATGGACTCTGAAACTGAGGGTTCTAGAGGGGAGGGGGGTGGGGGGATGGGTTAGCCTGGTGATGGGTATTAAAGAGGGCACGTTCTGCATGGAGCACTGGGTGTTACACACAATCATGACACGCTACATCAAAAACTAATGATGTAATGTATGGTGATTAACATAACAATAAAAAATTTAAAGAAAAAAAAGAAAAGACTAGTCAAAATGACTGCGAAGATTTGGAAAAAAAAACAAACTATGGTAGATTTCTAAGAGATGCTATGAGATTTAAAGGGTAGAATGAGAAAGTCTAACATACAACTAATTGGAGTCCCAGGAGGAAAAACAGTGAATGGAGAAGAGGCAATATTTGAAGAGACTATGACTTAAGACTTTTCCTGAACTGATAAAAATAAGCATATATATATAGAAAGCACGTGAATACTACAGAGGATAATTACATTGCAGTGAAACTGCATAATATCAAAGACAAAGGGGGCGCCTGGGTGGCTCAGATGGTTAAGTGTCTGCATTCGGCTCAGGTAATGATCCCGTGGTGCTGGGATTGAGTCCCGCATCAGGCTCCCTGCTCAGTGCAGAGCCAGCTTCTCCCTCTCCCTCTGCTATTCCCTCTGCTTGTGCTCTTCTGTGTATGTCTTCTGTCAAATAAATAAATAAAATCTTTAAAAAAGAAAAAAAAGATTTTTAAAGCAGCTAGAAAGAAGTACGTTACCTACAAAGAAACAGTAGAATTTGCTGTAGCAACAGTGAAAGCCAGATGGTGGAATAATCTCAAAATGCTGAGCGAGTATGTTAATCTAGAATTGTCTCTCCAATAAACTAACCTTTAGGAATGTGGGTAACACATATTTGGAGAGTTAACAACACACTTCTAAATAACCCATGATTTGAAGAAGAAATCATAAAAGATAGTAAGAAATACTTGATTGAAAATGAAAAAACACAACATATCAAAATCTGTGGGATGCAATTCAAGCAGTACTTAGAGTGACGTTGTTAGCACTGAACACCTGTATTTAGAAGAGAAGTGAGTTCACGGATCACTGACCTCATTTTCAACCTTATGAAATTAGAAAAAAGAAGAGCAGATGAAGTTCAAAGGAAATAGAAAAAGGAAATAATAAAGATCAAAGTGGAAATCAGTGGAACAAAAACAATAGAGAAAAAAGTCAATGAAGTCAAAAGCTGGTTCTCTGAGAAGGTAAAATTGTGTTAAATCTCTAACCAGACTAATCAGAGAAAACAAAATTGGAAAAGAAGGTACTAAAATTACCAATAGAAAGAATGAGAGAAATGATGTTATACAGTTTCTAACATAATAATGGATCAGAGAAATTTATGAATCATTTTTATGCCAGTAAGTACATCCACTTAGTTGAAGTGAACAAATTTCTTGAAAGGTACAAACCACTAGAGCTGACTCAAGAATAGATAATCTGAGCATCTATTACACTGAAATGGTTAAAAACATTCCCACAAAGAAAACTCCAATCCCTGGTGTTTTCACTGTTGAATTCTATCAAACATCTAAAGAAAAAATAATACCAGTTCTGCAAAGAATTCTGTACCAGTTCTTCAGAAAATTGGAGAGAGTTCTTGCCAACTCATTCTATAAGACCAGCATTACTCTGGTAATAAAACCAGACAAATACATTTCAAGAAAAAAAAAAAAAACTATAAACCAGTATTCTTAATAAATGCAAAGAAAATTTCTCAACAAAATTCTTACAGGTCAAGTCCAAAATTATGTTAAAAGATTAATACATCACAACCCAGTAGCATTTATCACGGGACTATTATGATAACATATGTTATAAAACATTCAAAACTCAATGTGTGGCTGTATGGAAGATGAAGGAGTAAGCAGCTCCAGGATTACTCCTTCCACTGAAACAACTATTGAGCTAGCAAGGTGTGTTAGAATGAGCTATTTTGGAATTGTGGAGCCTAGTCAAACGTGTGCTACCAACACCAGGGGAAAGCTTGATGAAAAAAATCTGGTAAATTTCAGTAACCTTGGCATTTTGCATGGAAGCTCTTAGCCCCTAGCCCTGTGGTAGACAGTAGGGGAGATGGTGGTGCAGCTTTCTGGTGGCCAGGTTGAGAAATGAAGACCTTGTCCTCCAAAGATTGGTACTATGCCTTTTAATGTGCCTGGCAATTTACTGAGGGTCTAGTGCAGGGCCTGGCTGTTATTTTAACTGCCTAGGCCAAGGTGGTTTCCTGAATGGTGTCTGTCAAAGAATTTAAAGAAACAGACACATTTGTCTGTGGTCCTACCCACCCCACACTTTTCTCACTGGATCCATGCATTCACTGAAATCTCTGCAAGGTCACTGGCTATGTGGGGAGATATAATGGGTCAGAGACTGTAGTGACCACACACACAGAAAGAAATGTAGTCTTTGTCTAAAGTCAATAAACATGACTACAACAATCTGAAATCCAGAGTTACACATTACAATATTCAAAATATCTAGTTGCCAACAAAAAATTACAAAGCATATAAAGAAACAGGAAAATATGGCTCATTCACAAGAAAAAAGAAATTGACAGAAAGCATCCCTGAGGAAGCCTAAATGTTGGACGTACCAGACAAGGAATTTAAATTAACTGCCTTAAATATGCTCAAATTGCTGAAGGAATCATGGACAAAGAACCAAAGTAAATCAGAAGAATGATGTATGTTCAAATTGGGAATATCAATAAAGAGGTAGAAATTACAAAAATGAACCAAATAGAAATTCTGGAACTGAAAGTTGTAATAGCTAAAATGAAAAATTAACTAGAGGGCTCCAACAGACAGAGAAAAGAATCTGCAAACTTGAATATAAAGTAGTTGAAATTGCTCTGTCAGTCAGGGGGTCACGGATTTGGCACTAATTTGCTGCCATAAAAATCCATCTTTAATTTTTGAAATGAAATTTCTGGCATTGTTATATGAAACTATGAGTATCACTGAGTTTTTTAAATTAAAAAAATCCCCATAGTTTTTTTTAAATAAGCTTTATAGTAATACATATTGGAAAATTAATTCATTAAACATATAAAGGAGGGTTCCTGGGCGGCTCAGTCGTTAAGCGTCTGCCTTCAGCTCAGGTCATGATCCCAGGGTCCTGGGATCGAGCCCCGCGTCGGGCTCCCTGCTCCGCGGGGAGTCGGCTCTTCCACCCACACACACACTCTTCCCCCCTGCTCTCAAATAAATAAATAAAACCTTTAAAAAAATATATAAAGAAGCCTTTCAAAGAATTGCTCAGTTTGAGGAGCAGAAAGAAAAACGTATCAAGAAAAATGAAGAGCACCTGGGGACCTATAGGACAACATCAAGCATACCGTCATGGCCACTAGAGAGTCCCAGAAGGGAAAAGAGTGAGAGGACAGGGCAGGAAAAACATTTGAAGACATAATAGCCAAAAACTTCCCAAATTTGATCAAAGATAGGAATCTACATATCTAGGAATTTCAGTGAACTCTAAGCAGGATAAACTCAATGGGATTTACTCCCAAGTTATATTACAATGAAACTTTTGAGTGACAAAGACAAAAATCTTGGGGCGCCTGGGTGGCTCAGTCATTAAGCGTCTGCCTTCGGCTCAGGTCATGATCCCAGGGTCCTGCGATCGGGCCCTGCATCGGGCTCCCTGCTCAGTGGGGGGGTCTGCTTCTCCCTCTCCCACTCCCCTTGCTTGTGTTCCCTCTCTCACTGTGTCTCTGTCAAATAAATAAAGAAAATCTTTAAAAAAAAAAGGCAAATCCCTAAAATAATAATTATAAATATGTATAAATAGGCACGCAGTGTATAAAGATATAATTTATAAAAATGTTTAAGAAGCACTGAGCACAGAGAAGTAATCAATTATGAATATTGTTGTTACTAATAAAAATGTTTAAAGGACAATTAGAAAAATGAGGTTTTAGAAAACCTGGTTTTCCCTATCCTGACTTTTGGCTTTTTTAGAAAATACTTGGTTCAGTGCCTTTTTTCTGGAGACCCTAGTACGTTCTGCAAGAGACAGTGATGAACCAATCCATAAATTTGAAGCCCAGCCTTCTAGGCTCCAGAAAGATGAGGTAACTTATACAGAAACACAGAGGTTCTGAGAAGCAAATGTTTCTTTCCAGGGATGATTACAAACTTTATATACAGCTCACCACCAACTCCCTTTGGCAGTGGTAAAGGCTTTCATTTTCAGATTTTTATGTCGTATTTTATTAATGAGCAATGTACTGTATGTTTCATTTTATTGTTGTTTTTAATTGCTCTCAGACTTTATTTTTGTAGGTTTGGGGTTGGTTAAATTGGTATTCTATATAGCTGTTCTAACCTAAGAATAAATATGGAAAATGTTTCAAGGTTTTGAAAAATTGATTTCCTATTCTTAAAAGAACTTGTGGCCATTATCTTTTGCTTTTGGGTGTATATTTAAGTGTGGGAGTAGGGTATTTAATTTATCAACATTGAATCAGAGAATTTGAAATTACTGAAGCATGTTTCTAAAACTTCATAGGAAAATATTATTTTAAAATGCTACCTAAATAAAGACAATTAAAACAGTGGGATGAATTTTTTTTCTCCCACAGAATTCAAGGTAGTTTTTCCTTTGTGGATCTGGGGAGGGTATAGGAATATATCAAAGTCTCCAAAGGTATTAGAGAAAAGCTGGTGCTAATAATCTTTAATAATCTGCTAATATTTAATAATAATTTTAATGTTTTTTTAACCACTCCTCTAAGAATTGAACAATTATGGCATGATTCAGAATGGCATAAAAATCATCCAATTTTTTCAAGTATTATTTTTTAACAGTTTAGGTGAAATTCACATAACATCCAGTTAACCATTTTAAAGTGTACAATTCAGTGGCATTTAGTGTATTCACAATGTTGTGCGAGCAGCACCCAAAATATTCTTATTGCAAAAGAACTGTTAAAAATTTAGTCATCAGAAGTTTGTTTTGGGGCACCTGGGTGGCTTAGTCGTTGAGCGTCTGCCTTCAGCTCAGGTCATGATCCCAGGGTCCTGGGATCGAGCCCCACACCAGGCTCCCTGCTCAGCGGGGGGCCTGCTTCTTCCTCTCCCACTCCCCCTGCTTGTGTTCCCTCTCTCGCTGTGTCTCTCACTGTCGAATAAATAAATAAAATCTTTAAAAAAAAAAATTTTTTTTTTTTAATAACAGTAGTTACATAATTGGAGATTTTTACATTCTTTTTTTTTTCCGGATTTTTTTTTTATTCTTCTAAATGAAGAGATAGCTCTTCCCACTACCCTTTGGGTTGTCCATCTTTAGATGTGCCCTGTGGTTAGCTGGTATTCGATTCAGGATTAAATTACCTTCTGGAAAATAGGGTATGTCAAATCTCTGAAAATTTTTTTTTTTTTTGCTCACATGTAAGTACTGTGAGGGCAACTATGATGCTTATACTTTGTATAACTGGCATCAGGATCATAAAAGCAGCTCAGATTAGTGTATGAGCAGCACAGTGTTATGCAGTGGAAACAGTGTGTGGTCCTGCTGGTATGGGGCTTTTCCCTTCCAGGTTAGTGGGTGGCGCTAGCAGGTGTATCCTCCTAGAGCCCTGTTGGTGCCCAGCATGGTGCACATTCTTAGTGCACTGAGCCCTTGGAACTGGTTGAGGTTGGTGGTGGTCTTCCCATCTTAGAACAAGTCCTCCTAGTAGAAGTAGTAGCTGAGTCAGAACAGAACTCCTAACCCCCACCCTCATCCCCATCTCTGACTCTCAAGTCCGTGTATCTGTGCTCTATCAAGCTGCCTCTTGTGGGGGCCTTAGAACTTAAATACGTGGTAGAGCGAGCCAGTGTTCTGGGAGAATTTGAAAGCGTGTACACTTGTTTTTATACTTTCCAAGGTGATTGTCATGGATGTGAGACAATAGCCAGATAACTCTTATCAAGTATTTAAGAACAAAATGAGAGTAGCCTTGGACTGCCAGCATCTGAGGACAGGAGAGCCAGTGCTCCTAAGAGGGCTGCAGAGCTCCTTATGTGTGTTCAGGGAGCTTTCCAGAGGCCCTCTATGCCTGCAGCACGCCGTGAACAGTGTGTGTGGATGGTGCTCTGAAGGCTGACACAAAGGCCTGTCTGCATTGGGTTGGACCCACACAGGCCATGATGATGTGGTTCATTGCAGTGACTACATATTTACAGTCTTTCTCCATACGAGAATATTCAGTCCTTTGGAATTGAATGATTTTTGTGAGGAAAAAGATCTTTTGTGCAATACTGATAAAACCCTTCATTTTTGTTGTCCTCCATACAATACACTAGTTGTTGAGGAATTTTATAACATGGCATCATTTCTCTTAGATTCACAATGGTCACGAGGTGTTTGAAGGACTTCACCAAATTTAGAACTTTTGACAGCTGTTCTGTGGCAGTACTGGTATTAAACCATAGGCTGCAGAAGGAGTTAAATTGTACTGTTAGTATTCCTGCCCTGCCATAGAGCTATGTCACTGCCAAGAGCACAACTGAATGATTTGGAGTGAGCATAGCCTCTGAGATAATTCTTGGGGTCTTGCTGGTTTTTTGTTCTTAAGGAGCATCAGAGATAGACAATATAAAAAGTTGGAGAAACTGCCATCTTGCGTCCCCGTGTGTGTGCACCTAATCTCAGCTGGTCTGCCCGAGACCCCCTGAGCGCCAACCCTATTCCCCCGCGCGGTCCCATTTCCGCTGCAACAAGATGAAAGAAACTATCATGAACCGGGAGAAACTCGCCAAACTGCAAGCACAAGTGCGCATTGGTGGGAAAGGAACTGCTCGCCGAAAGAAGAAGGTGGTTCATAGAATGGCTACAGCAGATGATAAAAAACTTCAGTTCTCCTTAAAGAAGTTAGGGGTAAACAATATCTCTGGTATTGAAGAAGTGAATATGTTCACAAACCAAGGAACAGTGATCCATTTTAACAACCCCAAAGTTCAGGCATCACTGGCAGCAAACACTTTCACCATTACAGGCCATGCTGAGACAAAGCAGCTGACAGAAATGCTACCCAGTATCTTAAACCAACTTGGTGCAGACAGTCTGACTAGTTTAAGAAGACTGGCTGAAGCTCTGCCCAAACAATCTGTGGATGGAAAAGCACCACTTGCTACTGGAGAGGATGATGATGATGAAGTTCCAGATCCTGTGGAGAATTTTGATGACGCTTCCAAGAATGAAGCAAACTGAATTGAGTCAACTTCTGAAGAACATAAAACTTGAAGAAGTTACTGGGAGCTGCTATTTTATATTATGACTGCTTTTTAAAATTTTGTTCATGGATCTGATAAAATCTAGATCTCTAATATTTTTTAAAAAGTTGGAGAAATATTCAGAAAGGTAGTAGAGGTGAGAGTCTTAGAGAATTATAAATAAAAAATGGCTTCTGCTGATCATTTTGACTCTGTGTAAAATAAAACATACAGCCCATGACTTTGTTTTCCTCTCAGGTTGTTACTAATACTGACTTACATTAATACATATAACATTTTATGTTTCAGAAGTTGGACTTCATAGAGTCTGATAGTTCCTGTTCCTCTGAAGCACTTTCAAAAAAAGAACTCTCTGCTGAAGAGCTGTATAAGCGACTCGAGAAACTCATTATTGAGGACAAAGCGAACGATGAACAGATCTTTGACTGGGTAGAGGTATAGAGATTATGTCACCTTCCGTGATATCTCTGCAAGAACGAGTCTTGTGGGCTCGCTTTCATTCACATACAGGCACACCTCAGAGATAGTGCGGGCTCAGTTCCAGACCACAATAAAGCGAATACTGCAGTAAAGCGAGTCAAATTAATTTTTTGTTTTCTCAGTGCATTTAAAGTTATGTTCACACAATACTGTAGTCTATTAAGTCTGTAATAGCATTTTATCTTTAAAAAGTACATAATATCTTAAAGAAAAATATTCCTAAAAAATTCTAACCATCATCTGAGCTTTCATTGAGTCATAATCGCTGATCACAGATCATTATAACAAATACAATATAATAAAATAGTTTAAAATACTGTGAGAATTACCCAGATGTGACACACAGAAGTGAGCAAATACTGTTGGACAAATGGTGCTGATAGAATTGCTTGATGCAGGGTTGCTATAAACCTTCAATTTGTAAAAAACACAGTATCACTGAAGTACGATAAAGCACAATAAAACAAGGTATGCCTGTATCTTCCCTTTCACTTAATAGGAGTATTTAACGTTACATTAGTTTTTATTTTTTCGTGTATGTGTATTTGAAACTATAAGGCTGTTTTTTATTTTTATAAGATTTACAGTCTTTTATAAGGTCAAGTAAAACCATTCAAAACAGAAGCCATTTTTCTGGGTCTCTCAGTTTAGGATATACCCTACATTTTACTATTCAAAAAATAGACATTGTGGGCGCCTGGGTGGGTTAGTCGGTTAAGCACATGCATTCGGCTCAGGTCATGATCCCAGGGTCCTGGGATCGAGCCCCACATCAGGCTCTCTGCTCAGCAGGGAGTCTGCTTCTCCCTCTTACCCTCCCTTTCTTGTCTTCTCTCTCTCTCAAATAAATAAATGAAAATCTTTAATTAAAAAAATACATATTTTTTCTAAATGTTCCTGCATTTTAAATACTATTCTGGGTGAAATTAAGAAATAATACATAGTTACTGTGACTTGTGTTGGCTTTCATCTTCATAGTAATTCTCCCTTCTGAAAATTTTATACCTTATTTTTCTTGTGGAGTCTATTGATCATGTCTCTTTTTAATCTGCTACTGTTTTCCTTTAGTGATTCTTGTTTATGTAAGTATGTTTTATTTGTACACATTTTTCATGGGATCATATAATAATCCAAGTTGAAAGTCATGGATGGCTAATCTGGTCCTCTCCCTCTTGGATAAATCCTTTTTTGTTGTCTTTGTAATGGCTTGTTAATTCTTTATCCACTCTTAGGCATTGAGAAATAATGAAACTTCTGATAATTTGGGGTTTTTTTTAATCTATTTTCCTCCATGTCTATTCAGGATAGTAAGTCTATCCTGTCACCTAGTTGAGAATCTTTTAATTAATTGTAATAGTTTACTATTATATTCCTGTCTCCCTCTCTAGGTTCTCTCATCCTTTCTTGAAATCTTGATATCCAGACTCTTGTCTGGTTACTCTTATCCAAACAGCCTGGATTTTCAGTATCCCTCTCACAAGTGACATGTGCAAATTGAGCATGATTGCCAGATGTGATGCAACAGTGTGGAGTTAGGCAGTGCTGTTGCATTTTTTGTTTTGCACTCTGCTTCAGACTCACCAAACTGAACTCAGACTGCTCTTTCAGTCATATAGTACCCATTCTTTTATGTTCCTCAGTTTAGTTATCTCTACCATTTGGAACTTTAATGCATTTGGTTTTGGAACCAGAATGGGGCTTTTTAAAAATTATTTCTGCTTATGTTCATCTGCTTAAATAAGATACGAGTTTTTGTCTATCAGGACAGTTTAGAATCTGACTTTGGTCATAAAATTTCCTTGCCATCTTTTTCACTTTGTATCCTCCTTGCATTTCATTAATGGAATCAACTTTATCCCCTTCCAGGTTATGGGTAAAATATGTGAATGGGGCAAAGTAGCTTCCTTTGCGGGACAAGATACCCCCATGGACACTTCCAGCTCTTAACCTGTTTATTATTTCACATCATTTTACTGTCTATTTCATCTTTTCATCTTGCCCACAAGGATATAGCTGCCATTACATAGTTTGTCAGAAGCCTTGCTGAAGTCCAGTGAATATATACCTATATCCATCTGAGCTGCCATATACTAATCAAATCAGAAAAGGAAAGGTTAGTTTAGCATCACTTGTTTTTCATGTACTTACTTATTCCTCTTGGCATAACCATCTCTTTTCTCTCTAAGACTTTTAAGCCATTTATGTGGTAGTTTGTTATAGGATTTAGCATAGAATCAGCATCAGCCTTTCTGGTATGTTATCGACGTGCCTTGTTTTCTGTTTAAAAATCTAGTCAGTGGGCACCTGGGTGGCTCAGTCGGTTAAGCTTCTGCCAGTGGCTCAGGTCATGATCCTAGGGTAATGGGATGGAGCCCCACTTCGGGCTCCCTGCTCTTTGGGGGACCTACTTCTCCCTCTCCCCCTGCGCTTCCTCCCTGCTCATGCTCTCTCTCTCTCTTGTACTCTCTCTTTCTCAAGTAAATAAATAAAATCTTTAAAAAAAAAATAGAAATCCAGTCAGTGTTTACATATTAACATTATTCTTTTTTGCCATGATTTTTCATAGATCCCATCATTTCAACCATTTGATCTTTTATGTTCTTATGTATCGCAAAATGATGCCATTTTCACCTCTTCATTGATGTTGGGCTTCATTTTTTTATATCACTATTTATTCTGCCTATTGTGGACCAACAATTGTTATCCTTACAGAGAAGACAAAGGGTAAATTTCACTGAATGTAGATTATACTAATAAAGATGACTTTTAAAAAAGGAGAGAAAGAAAAAACAAAAATGTAATAGTAGTTGAGCTCATAGTACATGAAGACATTTGTTGCTGTGTGTCTGATACCAGAATTATGTAAATCTGAGTTTGCTTACCCAGTTAGCAGACCCATCTGCCTTCTTGTTCTTCCCATTCTTGTTAAGATCTTTGCTTAATCTGGGGCGCCTGGGTGGCTCAGTTGGTTAAGCATCTGCCTTCCGCTCAGGTCATGATCCCAGGGTCCCAGGATCAAGTCCCTCATCGGGCTCCCTGCTCAGCAGAGAGCCTGCTTCTTCCTCTCCCTCTGCTGCTCCCCCTGCTTGTTCTCTCTCTCTCTCTCAAATAAATAAATAAAATCTTTAAAAAAGATTTTTGCTTAATCTATAGAGTGTTCTCGACACTATTCTTCAGGTCTGTTCTATTAAATATTAGAGTTAAAATATTTAGCTTTATTTGGTAGAAGCAATATGCAGTTTATTTCTTTATAAGAAACAGTCAAATGGTTTGGAAGTGGTGTTTATTATCTAATTCTTTTTAGCTAATTTGTTCATATTTTTTCAGAAGTATTTGGGAATTTCAGATGATATTCAGTACTTGAAATAGCTCTATTTAACCTATTTTTAAAGTATTGTTGAACCAAAAAGTAATGGTGTGTTTTTATTCTCTCATTTATTCTTCAAAAATAATTGTTCACACTTTGTGAAAGTAATTTCTGGGCCTAGACCAGCCTGGCTTCAGTCTAAATAAAGTTTGTTTGTTTACAGGGTGTAAACCAGCAACTGGCTATAACACGTAAATCATCAAATCTTTTGTATGTGGCTGTTGCCCCATCCTGTCCCCATCCTCAGCTGTTAGCAGTAGCACCACGTTTCTGTTCTTTTGGAAAAGATTGGTAATGAAACCTCTTACTGTAACACAGCCCACCATGTGCAGTACTGCTGGTATCCTGCAGAGCTGGCCATCTGACTTGTTAACCCCTCTTAACTTGGCTCTCACCAAGTGATGTATGAGGTTAGGTATTCAGCAGAGAGAGAGCAGCTAGTTAATCTGTGTCAGTTTTAAAATTCATAAACATTTTACTGATCTCCAAATATCTTTGAAATTCTTAGCTTTCTAACACAGAGGTTTATAATGACATTCTAAGTTTGTTCCTGGCCAGTCATTTTAAGGCTGACCCAGTGGAAAATATGCTGTGCTATTAAAAGAAGCTGAGATAAGCATTAATTCTGTTCACAAGCATAGAAACATAAACTTTGAAAAGTATTTGAAATACCTTCCTAGAAAATGTCTCCTTTTGTTTGTGTTTTCCTTTTGCTATTCATCTGGCTTAGTAGTGTTTTATAGCAAGATCTTTCTTTTTTTAAGATCTTAAGAGAAACTAAGAAACAGATTTGAGGCCCGTTTACTTTACTTACCATATCTCTAAATACATTTTTTCTGCCATCCTTAGTAAAGAGTAATATTTTTCTCACCACCACCTGAAAGATGTGAGACAATGCTTGAGTTTAATCTCTAGTTCACATTAAAGTTAAGATAAAAAAGCAATGTTAGCACATCTAAAAATTTTTGCACACTACTCAGAAAAGTAGTCTCTAAAACACACTGGGGTGAGATCATCTTAATATGAGTTATTTATTGAGGAAGAAAAATGTTTTTAAATGGTTGTACTTCCATATGCAGATAGTGCACAGCACTGTATAATTGAGCAAAACATAAGCAGCAGTAAGCTCTCTGAAAACTGAATGCTGCTACCTAGAACATTTTCAGACAGAACTGGTGGTAGCCCAGGTATTTTCCAATGAATCAAGATTAATTTTTACAAGAATGTTGAATGTGACCCCCATCTCTTCCTAGTGCCAGATGAGGCCTGGTGTAAGAGAAGTAATTTCTCTGATGTGCAAGGGTACTTTTAACTGTTCCATTTACTTTTGATTTCAGGCTAATCTAGATGAAAGCCAGATGAGTTCACCTACATTCCTTAGAGCTTTAATGACAGCCGTTTGTAAAGCAGCTATTATAGGTAAGTAACATTTCTGAAGGCAGCTCTTAACATCTGAAACCCCCATATGTTAACTGCTGATGATACAGATGAGTTTATGTTGTCTTCAGAATTTGCCCTGTGAAACTCATTTTCTTGTGCCAGTGGGTGCCATTTCTGTCTACAGTGCCTGGCTGTCTCAAGCAGGGGGATGATTAGCTGCTGTGCCTATAGAAAGCCCAGATCTGAGTAGCTACTGTATGCCTTTTGTTCTTCCAATTCAAGAGAAAGTGGGTACATGGCACTTGGGTTGTTTCCTTCTCTGTTGGATGTGGTTTTACCTTTACCTTTCATCTCCAGTATGCGAAGCCCCCATCTTCCATTCAAGATTTATAATGAATGGGTTGAATATTCTTAACCTAATATCAATGAAGGATTTGTCATTTCAACAGAAAAGCCATTTTATATAAAAACATGAGGAAAGAAGAAAATTGTTTCCTTTGCTTTATGTTGACCTTAGATGATAAGGCAGTGTCATTGTTAATCACATAGGTGGATAGGATTAGGGTTGGTAGAAACCCTAAGTATTTAAGCTGCATATAGTATTCAACAATATTGAATGAGATCATCCACCTAGCCTGATGGAAATTCACATTTCTGTCACTGCAGTACGGAAAAAAGTCCCATCAGCTCAAAAGTTGTTCAGAATTTCAGGTCTGTCATCATTGTAGAAGATAGCTTCAGAATTATATTCTAAGATTTTTTTTGTCAGATGAATGTTTTTTCAGTGTTAGGTCTTTAATGAGGTAAATAACAAGCTAATAGAAAGTCTTTTATATAAAAACGTCTTAAGTCATTTCCAGTATCTATGGAACTGTAAGGCTGGTGGTTTTGGTTTTTTTGGAGTTTTTTGTTTTTTTTAAGATTTATTTATTTGAGAGAGAGAGAGCAAGAGCGAGCGGGGGGGAAAGGCAGAGGGAGAGGGACACGCTGAGCACAGAGCCCAATGTGGGGCTTGATCTCATGACCCTTTAGATCATGACCTGAGCTGAGAACAAGAATGAAACAGTCAACCGACTGAGCCACCCAGGTGCCTCATAAGACTGGTGTTTTAAAATCACAGCTGTAGAGGTGCCTGGTGGCTCAGTCAGTTAAGTGTCCAACTCTTGATTACAGTTGAGGTCATGATCTCAGGGTCGTGAGATCAAACCCCATGTTGAGCTCCTTGCTCAGCAGAGAGTCTGCTTGAGATTCTCTCTGTCCCTCTCCCTCTGCCCCTCCCCCCCACCCCATGCTCCCTCATGCGTACTCTCTCAAAGTAAATATTTTAAAAAATAAAATCACAGTTGGAAAGTATAAAAGCTGCTTTAAAAAACAAGATTGTACCCCAGTGCTCACTTACAGAGAAGATAAAATGTTATGCTTCTTGGCATTGAGGATGAGATTTCCTCAACCTCTTTTTACTGTGCCTTTACCCCAGAAGGCCTAAATTGTATGTGTTGTTTGCCACTGTTAGAGTTAGTCCTCCCCCTCCTAGTAATAATAAAATGGTTCCGTTTTACCCTTCTGAAAAGATTAGCATGAACTATCACTTTAATTTCCTTTTTAATGTTTCTTTTATAGTTTGTCACAAAACCACTGTCCCTGTTTCATTATGATTAAAGATAAAGAATTGGGTGCACTTGTTTTTAGGGAACCCAGCACTCAAAAAACATCCCCCCTCCATGTATTTTTATTATTTCAGGAAGAATATCCCATTCATTTCAGAATATCTTAGATTTCAAAATCTTTTCCTTGGACCCCCCCCTTGCTTCCACTTTCCTTGTAATCACATCTTATCAACTCAGAAAATTAAAAATGGCTGTGTTAACTCCTTAAATGTAACACTTAGTTCTTGTATCTCCTGTAGCTGACTGTTCTACCTTCCGAGTGGACACTGCTGTTATCAAGCAGAGAGTGCCGATCTTACTCAAGTACCTAGACTCAGATACAGAGAAGGAACTGCAAGCACTTTATGCACTACAAGCATCAATAGTAAAACTTGATCAACCTGCCAGTAAGTTTACCTCCTACAATTAACCCAACCAGTGGGTGAGATTTATCCAAGTCAGGACTTAAGAGATGCTTTGATGGGTTTTGAACAGCAAATAATAGAAGAATCACTACTAACAAAAACACAGATAACCAACAACTTTAATAAACCTGGATTTTTTATGTACTTGACTTCTGTGAGAAAATGGTAATAAAATTAATTTATATTAGAGATTTAATCCTCACTATAGGGCAAGTCTGCCTAAGTGATGGAAATGTGTACCATGCAGTATGGTACAGTATATTCACTTGAGCACTTGTGAATGTGCCTATTGTGACTAAGGATCTTAATTTTAAATTTTATTTAATTTAAATGTAAATAGCTGCACGTGGTTAGTGGCTACCCTTTTGGATAATGCAGAGCATTGTGGTGATAGCATGCGTGCATTAGTCTTTCACTTTCTTTGACACAGGTCTTAGTCATGAAAGAGGATGATACTCTTCAGAATCCTCAGACACCCAACAAAGACATTAAGGTGTTTTAGACTAATTTTCACTTCAGGGTTATGATTAATTCTTTGCTAACCAGACAAATAAGGTAACCTGGACCACCCAAGTCTTAGTGATATTGGTAAATTAACTGAATTGTATTAAATCTTGAAAATTCAGTTGAAACTTGTGAAAGTGGATAGTAGTACAGGGCAGTTTCAGAGCTGACATTGAAGTAGCTCTTTGGTACTTGCTTAGGTTGTATCTGTTGCTGGGCTTTCCTTGTTTGCTAGTGCTGATGAATCCCTCTAGGAGATAAAGGAAAAGATCGAAACAAATAACCCTCAGGCTGTAATTGAGGAGACATCTAAGTCTGAATCAGAGAATTAACTGATTTTGTTTCTATCAAGACCTTTGGAGGGTCATTTAACATCATGACTTCCTTCTGTTCTTATAGGATGAGGACTCATTCACTTTTCAAGAGATGAAATTGATGCTATATGCTCCCAGCCAAAGTGTCTCCCATAATAATCAGCTTTAATAATCCCTGGAGAGATGTTTAATTCTAGATTTACCATCAATAGAATTTTGGCCACTTGTTTCCATTTCCCCATAGGCCAACCAGGGTTTAGAGAATGAAAAGTGATTTCAGTATTAGCTTAACTAATAAAATTACAAAGATAAATCCAAAGAAAAAATTTAATATGACTCATTCTAAGCCTAATATTTATTATCAATTATTGTTTATTCTGTTGCCTCCTTCTGTTCGTATGAATGGAGGCTGACTTTAAATGAACTTAAGAGCCCATAATGAAGGGGTTAAAAATAAAGGTTTTTATTTTTAATAAAATTGGTAATAAAAATTACCAGCTTTTTCTCTTTTTTGAACAATAACATAAGCTGAGTTTCCACTGTGGGAGCAAAACAGAAAATTAAATTTGCCCAGATCATCTGGGCATTGAAAAAAACAGGCTGTTGTTTCTCTGGGCAAAATCCAGATGAGATAGTTTTTACCCATATTTTCCATATAAATTATTACTCTTTCCAGTTTGAAAGCGACATTAGAAGGGGGGGGAAGTACCTTCTGCCCTTTTCTTCCAAAATTTGTAAAAATTATATATTTTTATTGTAAAATTTCAAACAATGGAGAATGTATAAAGAAGAAAGTAAAGTTACTCGTGTATTTAATTTTTAGTGTGTAGTTTGAGAACTACATAATATCAAATACCTCAGCACTATCAGAAAATAGTTCAAATTAAACAAAGTAATAGCAATAAAAATAATTTAGATTGCTTAAATCTTTTTCCTGTTCTTTAGACAAGTCGTTTTTGCTATTATACCATACTATAAAGAGGGAGTATGATGAATTGTTATGGATATTCTTCTCTAGGGGAACTCATGTGCATTCATTCATTCATTCCTTGGAAATATATTCTCTCTGTCACAACTACAGCACCTCTAGAACTGATGGTATATTTTTACTTCTTGCAGATTTGCTACGAATGTTTTTTGATTGCCTATACGATGAGGAGGTGATCTCCGAGGATGCCTTCTACAAATGGGAAAGCAGCAAGGACCCTGCAGAGCAGAATGGGAAGGGTGTGGCTCTGAAATCTGTCACTGCGTTCTTCACGTGGCTGCGGGAAGCCGAAGAGGAGTCTGAGGATAACTAAAGCTTCAAATACACAAAACGAAACAAAAGAAACAATTTAAGTATTTTTTTAAAAAGTTTCACGTCTTCGCCAATCACAGTGCAGCAAGGCCAATTCTCGCAGAAATCCCCACGTGTGCACGAGTGGGAGAGGGGAAAGAGAAAAAAAGGTGATCATGGAGGAAAAAGGTACTGGAAAAAAGTAAACTTCAAACCTGAGGGCGGGAGCACTAAAACCAAAATACATGTATTATTTATAGAAAATATTTTCTGTTTTAATCTTTTCTTTTTAAACAAGGACTCATACTTTAAAAAAACACATCTGTTTAGCAAAAAAAAAAGTTGAGAACTTTTTAATTTATTTTAAGGACTGCAAATGCCAGTGTAATTTTTTAATTTGCAGTTTCTGTAAACAACTTGTATAATAGAAAAGCAGAGAAATAAATTTCCCTCCCCTTCAGATGCACCTCACGTTTGTTTTAAAGCATAGTAGTTAGTCCAGATTTAAAAAGGTTTGGGGTGAATAAGGTAAGAAAGATTTTTTTTTTTTTTTGGCATCAAATCTTTCTGCCTGCCTCTCAGCTTGCTTCGGAAAATTAAAAAAAAAAAATCACAATAGTAATCAACACATACATAACCTTGGAACAGAAGGAAATGCTGTGGACCAGAGAACTCCAAGAATTGTTTAAAAAATTTAAAAAACAAGTGCTACCCTGCGAAAAGTACTCTTAATACTTTTGAAATCTTTAGAGCAACTTTAAGGCTTGTAAATACATAGAACAAATATTTAAAAAAAAAACAAAAAGAAATTGACTCAATACTATTTCTTTTCACTTTCAAAATATAAAGAACAAAATAAAGACAAACATTGCAAGTTTAAAAGAAAGTAAAATGACTTCTCCTTTTGACAGCTGCTGCATGTGCGCCCATCTCTGGGAGGTGCTGTCTGGCTATTCGTTGTCTAATCCAAATCACTCCTGAGGGTGGGTGGGTAGGTGTGTGTGTGTGTGTGT